CATTTAGAGTGGTTCACTGTAGAGACTGAGTGGTGGTGAATGGAACCTGGGGTCACCATGACTACAACTCAAATATAGCCATTTATTTACTATCCAAAACCACCAATGAACCTACACATTAATGTTTATGATGATAAAATATTTTGCCTCACAACACCCTGCATGTATCCCTCCACCGTGAAAAGATTCATATATATATATATATATATATATATATATATATATATATATATATATATATATTTAGGCCAAAACAGGCTGTGTGTTCATAACCATTTTCTGTAGTAACTTTCTGTGAGGGAGCTTTTAGAGGTGGACGTCTGGTTCCTATCACCACCACTGTGAACAATTCTGACTTTGCTTACATTGCAACCATTTACTTATGCAGAACTTTAGACAAATCAGTGGACTTCCCCTTCAAGTCTGAGGTGTGTTCACATGGAATATGCTGCCCTCTACTGTTACTCTACTGAAAATGCGCCTTACACGTGCCACATAAGGTCATGGATATTTCTTTAGTCAAAAACACAACGGCACCCAAAGCACATGCAAAAGTACAAATTACACAAATCTACACCGCACAAGCTGCATGTCAGGTCGTCTATTGGCCACACTGAAGAAAGTGCTTTTCCTTTTCATTTGGCTTTACTGGAATGACCTCAGGCAGAGGAAGAATAACTCAACTAATAACGCAACTAACACACCAACTAGCGCTTGTTTCTGGGGGCGTGGGAGTATCTGGAGGCCAAAAGCATCATGCAGGGAAGGGCAGAGCAGAATTAGGCCATTTTCTCAAAAATCAAACCCATGTTTTATTGGGCAGTTAGTGGTCTAGACCCCTCGAGTCCTCTCACTGCCTCAGAAGGAGAGAATGCAAGATATGCAATGAATCTTGTCAGAAAACAAGCTTCCCTACTGTGGCCTTTTACTGTGGGAGTCAGGAAGCGATGTCTCCCACTGTGTTGGTTGAATTGAGTCTTTTGGCGGAACAAACTGAACCCAGTCAGTTTCCTGTAACAATTCATTGCTTTGTCCAGTCAGTGGTGATTGTGCCCATAGATTTGCATACAAAGGCTGGGCAGCAGACAAGCAGCTCTGTCGCTGTGCAGTATTGCACAGATTTGTACTCAATGATCCAAGATCTGCTGTTATTGTATTTGCATTGTAATACTAGAATCTTGTAATAATTATGCAAGAACCATGCAAGGAACCAAGGAACATTTACTTCATTGGGTTATTTCATAAGGCATTTAAGGTCTAAACAGGTCATGTTGTTGATATCCACAGTCAAAATTTTCTTAATTTTTAAAATTTATTTTTGCATTTCATGCAACCATGCAACTTTTTAAATGTCCAGACCCGTGAGCCAAAACATTATGACTATATGCCTGATATGCTGTTGATCCTCTGCAAGCCACCAAAACAGCTCCTACTCGCCAAGACATGAGCTGTGTCCCAAATCAGGGTCTGCATCCTTCAAAGGATGTGGTCTTCAAAGGCTTGTCCTCCACTCTAATGCAATCGGCCTTCAAATGCAGCCTCCAAAGGCTGCAGCCCCTGAATTGGGACATAGCTATGGACTCTGCAAGACCACTGAAGTACCCTGTGGTATTTGGCACCAAGATGTTAGCAGCAGATCCTTTAAGTGCTATAAATTGTGAAGTGGAGCCAGCACGAATCTGACTTCTTGTTCCAGTTCAGCAATTTGGAGGCCATGGAGACGTCTTTGCCATGTTCTTCAAACCTGTTCCAAACAACATGTGCAGAGCGACGGGGCATGTTATCCTACTGAAAACTGCTACCGTCATTGGGGAATACCATCGCCACGAAGGGATGTACCTGCTCCATAACGTTGTTTAGGTAGTTGGCACGTGTCAAATTGGCATCCATATGAATGTCTTGATCCAGAACATTACCCAGAGCTTCACACTCCCTCCACCAGCTTGTCTTCTTCCCACAGTGCATCCAGATGCCATCACTTCCCCAGATAAATGGCGCACACATTCCTGGCTGTCCATGTATTGTAAAAGAAAACGGGACTCATCGGACCAGGCGACCTTCTTCAATTGCTCCATGGTGCGGTTTTGATGTCTGCATTCCAATTGCAGGTGACTGGTTCCAGAGACCACTAGTGTCCTGTAGAATACCTTTAGATCCCACAAGGATTTTTGTTGAGATAGAGGGGTAGGGTGAAGTGTTAGGGCTACATGGCCCTCTAAACAGAGGTTTTTCAGAGACTCACTCCAAAAACCGGCAAGATGGCTGCACAAATGACCAAAAAAACCAGCAAAAATTGCTAGCTAAACTTCCCGTCCCACCTTAAATGGTGCAGCTATTATATTCTGGCGCCTCAGGCCTATTTAAGGTGGAACGGGAAAATTCAAACAAGAAGCTGACGAAATAGCTTCATTTCATTTAAGAATTAGGGGTGGGAGATAATAAATAATGGTCACCCCCAACCCTTTGAAGTCATATGATGCCCTAAATGTAACTAAAGCCCTCAAACTAAAGTAACTCAGTTCCAAGGGGCAAGATGACACTCAAAAACAAGGGGTAGGGGTAAAAATAAGAAATGGGATTGGGGCCTTAGGTGAATACTTGGCAATGTAATGTCCAACAGTAACTCTCTGTGTTTTTCATCCTCTTCCCTTTGGTGGACTCTGCTCTTCAGTTCAGCTCACAGAGTTTTAATGGAGTCGAGGTCAAGGCACTGAGATGGCCACTGCAAAAGCTTCATCCTGTACTCAGCGAGCCATTTTTATGTGAATCTGGAGAAATGCTTTGGATCATCACACTGCTGGACGATCAGTGACTGGCCAGTTTCAGCCTCCTGACAGGCAGCCAGATTTTCGTCTGTCCATGAAGCTGTTTATTCAGTTTGGCAAACTTCTGGCACCTGCATTTGTAGTGTGATTGGAGTAGACGCTTTCGTCTTGGCAAGTTAAGTCTTCCGAACAGCTTGTAGGCACAATGGTGGCGTTCTATCACCCCTCTGGAGACGCGGCGACCCCTAGACGCACTCGACATCTGCACTTCTCCAGCTGTGGGAATGGAGAGCTCTTGAACGTCCTCCTCACTGAGTGGGAGGTTGTGTAAAAATACAGTTTCCACTTTCCAGCTGCACCTGCTTTAAATTAGACTTGATTAATTAACTACAGCTAGCGGTTCTGTCAGCTCGACAGCAAATATTAAAACAGTAAAAATATCTCCCAAAGGTGTATGAGTCGGTGATCGTTTACTGAAATGTTCTTGTGTTTTATGTATTTATTTTTTACCTCTGAGATCCACTTATGTTACGTCGGAATTCACATTTTCCCTTAGAATGAAACAGGCCTTTGTTACTGTGCCTTTAAGACTGTCCTTCGGTTCTGACTGGCTGACCTACATTGCGCCTCATTCAAGAGGCAGCCAGATTCAGATTTCTTTACAGTGCTGGTGAATGGAACCAGGGGTCTCCATGTCTACAACACAAATATCGCCATTTTATTTACTATCCAAAACCACCAGTGAACCTACACGTGTCTTCGCTTGTGTAAAGATGTTGATAATGGAAAAAAAAAAATCTGAAAAGAACCAGAAAATTTGGGGGGTGCATCAATGGCTTAATAACTGTTTTAGGTGAAAATCTAAACACAAAACTATCGTAAAAGTGTCAACAGGCAGCATAGCTTTTAGAGGAATTCAACATCTAGTTCCTATCACAACCACTGTGACCATTCTGAGTCGGTGGGCTTCTTTAGACCGGTGCATTTCACATTAAACTAAAATTCTCCTTTAAAAGTCCAGCTGTGGTAAACAGATGTTCTTAAACATCATACTTGACACTTGAACTGTTTGAGCTATAATTTTTAGCATGCATTAGGTACATTGTCGGTAAACATAGACATACTGTTCATCATATTTATCGACAATTTGCTGTTCATAAGTGCTTGAATCATTTTGGACCTCACTTTTGTTGATACAGTTGGGTTTCCTGAGCTACAGTGAACAAAAACTGTGACTGTTGTAGAGCTCAGCCCATCTCCACCCCCTTACCCACGATTCCACAGGTCCTTCTGAAGCGAGCGTTTCCCTTCGCAACCCCCAGAAAAAGAGCAACTTGTTGTCTGAACCCGACCGCTGAGCAGCTGGCAACGAGAAAAGACACGAGGAAAGCACCTCCATCCGGCCTGGCTGATGTGCCTTCTGGAAGGCTGGAAGGAGGACATGGGTCAGTGGGTTTATGTGGACATTACAGCAAAGTACAGCGAGCTTTTTGAGTCTTTTTTTTTAAAAAGGAGGTCAATTCAATTTACCAGTTCAAGAATTTGGGTTGCTTAGCTGAATTTGGGACTCTTTACAAAAAAAAACCCAAATTTGGAACATTTGTTCAGCTGTGTTTTTCCTACTATAACCGAGTTTCTCCAGCTGAGCTGCTTTGCCTTCATGAACCTTGAACACGTTCACGGTGTAGTGAAAATGTCGTCTGAAAGGATCTTAGGGTTGAAGCAGGGGTAGACATTGCATATTTCCTGGTGCCCCTGGCAAAAACATTTGACATTGTGGCCTCTAAAAGTGGAGAGCCTGTTGTCTGAGTGACCACTTGACCTGGAGTGTTTTTTTAGAGATGCATCGATAAGGAAAAAGTGGCCCGATGCCAATTTCCAGTACTTTTCTTGTACGCACCTGCTGATGCCGATAAACACTCACACATTTTCTACGCCGCTTATCCTTCTGGGTCGCGGGGTCTGATCCAAGCAGTGATCCACTCTGTGTCTGATCCACTCAGACCAGCACAACACACACTAACACACCACCACCACGTCAGTGTTACTGCAGTGCTGAGAACGATACACCACCCAAATAGTACCTGCTCTGTGAGGGTCCATGGGGGTCCTGACCACTGAAGAACAGGGTTCCTGTGACTTCATTGGCTTGGCTGCCTGAGCAGTCAGTGTAAATTTTCGATCTGATAAGATTTCACACAACACAAGTTTGTGACTTATTATTAGAAGTATTTTTTTTTTGTCCTTAGTTGTTTAATGTAAACCATTTGAGAACATGAGTAAAGAAACACATCAAATAACAAGAATGACAATAAAAACAACTTTACACTTTAACTAGGCGTCTGTCTCACTTTCACTTTCTACGTATTTATGTACTATTATTTCTTCTTTCTTTGAAAAATAAGCCGTTCAACTCCTCATGGTTCACACGATTGGCTGTTCGCCATAAGCGTCATGCTTTCGTGTACATGCATGAAGATTAATCATAGAGTATCTAAATCTGGGTTAACAGAGGCTGAGCTGTAACTCAGCAACCCTGTCTAAGGTGAAGGTGAGACAGACCTTTCAAATTCTGATCCTACAAAGCTGCAACACTATTGACTTCCATTTTGTGCTCAACTTGACATTTAATCGATGAGTTGAGTCAGATCTGTTTGACTTTAAAGAGGGATTTTCTGCATAATTCAGTGGTGGAGATGTAAACAAAGTCATTCAGAGTGATTTGATCTGAAAGGGTCCGTTCTAGAGGACCCTAGTGAGAGGAACCAGGGGTTGCAATGGCTACGAAGCAAATACAGCCATTTTATTCACTATCCAAAAGCACCAGTGACCCTACACATGCGTTCTGAGTTTCTATTAAATGTTTAGAATGGTGAAAGTGGTAAATCTGAAAAAATGTGTTTTTCTTTGGTGACTATTTTCTCATACAACACCGCATTCATAACCCAACACAATATATTCAGAACCATTTCATGTAATAACTTCATGTGATGTAGCTTTTAGTGGTCAGTTGCCATGTCTACAACATAAACATAGCCATTTTATTTACTACCACCAGTGAATCTACACATGTCTAGATATTGAGATGATAAAAAAGTGGCAAATCTGGAAAAAAAGAGGCAGGGGGGGTATTTTTAGGGACTATTTTGCCTCACAACAACCTGCATGTACCTATCCGCCATGAATGGCTTAAAAATGTTCTAGACCAAAATCTTCTTGAAGCTATCATCAGCAGTGTCTCAGAAATCAGACAATGCATTCATAACCATTTCATGTAGTAACTTTCTGTGAGGGAGCTTTTAGAGGTGGACGTCTGGTTCCTATCACCACCACTGAGTACAATTCAGACTATGGTTCTCTAGAACGGAGCGTTTCACACCAAACCACTCTGACTGACTCTGTTTACATCTTACCCACTTCATTATGCAGAAATCTTGGAATTCCCTCTCAAAAAGCCTGGTGAAGATTCTGGAAATCAACATTATTAGTGCAGTGGTCTTGTGCATAAAACCAGGCTTTTCCCAAAACCTCTAAAATTTTAAACCAAACATTGAAAAGTAGCTCGCTGAGTAGTGGACAGGATATTACAAACATTTTCATAGCAGCATTAGACGGTAATGTCTGAGTCGTGTAAGAAAAACAAACAGTTGTAAGAACAGTCAGTCCACAGTTACAGGTGTCCATCACTCTTTGCCAGCTGCTTGCTGGAGTAAGTGAATGTTTGGCTCCAGTCAGTTCAATAAACAGTAAAGTATCAGTGATTCTTAGCGTAGATTAGCGAGTCTCCATCATGAGCCAACATTGTTAGAAACATCCTTCTCCTTGTCAGTAAGTTTTAGGATAAGGTAATTCAAACCGTGAAGGTCCACAGGTTCCTGTGGTGAAACCGCAAAAGTTCTCCTGTTAAAAACGCTTGTTTACGGCGAACCACAGAAGTTAGTGACGTTACTTGTGGCCAAACTGTAAAGGTTAGCAACAGTTTGCTCTGCCAAACTAGTAAGACTTTCCTCTGAAAGCAGCCTTCCACTGAAGCATCTGCAAACTCAATATTAGCTGGTGGCTGTTCCTGGCTAAGAGCGCTGTAGGTTATTGAGGGTTGGGCAGGTGCGTGAGGGCCTGCTGGAGTGTGAGCTCCAGTTTCCTCTGAAGGGCGTCCAGACGCAGGTCCATGTGCTCCTTCAGCCTCTTCTCCAGCTCCTCCATTCGCTTCTCCACGACCCTCTCCAGAGCCTTCTCTAGACCTCCACAGCACATGTGGTCGTCCCTTACAAACACAAAAGCAGAAAATGTAATCAATCGCACCAAGTGCAGAAACAGGAATCTTGAAAACCTGATTAACTGCAGGTGATTAACTGCATTTGTAAAAGGTGCACAACATTTAAAGCAATATTTAAACCACATTTTATGTCTGTTTTTTTCAGGATGTTAAATTCAGCAAATAAACAGTAATTGTGTATTAAAATGAACAGAAGAGCAGATAAAAATCTAACGATTATTCATCAAAGCAAACACAAATTTTCGACTTTCAATTTGGATGAAATCCCTAAAGATAAATATATATTTTTTTAATTATTGTTTTTATTTTATCACATTGATTTTATTTCCTAACTGTTGTTTAATTGTTTATTTTATTATTATAATTTTTTTGAATTATGGTTAAAAAGCACAACCAAAATTTTTTATTTTGACATGTTTTTACAAAAGAGGGGCCAGGGTATTGCATCAAAAAGAAGACCCCAAGTGACCTTCGTGGACCAATGCCAAGGTCAGTAGCCCTTTCACAAATTTGGTAAAATCTGTGATTTTTGAGTCGTGGTTAGAACAGTTCAGTTTAACACGTCAGGTGGTCTGACCTCAGGAGTATAAACTTATAAACTTAAGTTAAGAACAAAGGTTTCTACAAGTGTCTAAGTAGATGCCGGTTTAATTTCAAATTAGTCTGAAAAGTCAGGTGGTGCAACTAGTAAGTGAAATGGTACAACCAGGCCAGCCCAGTTTTAAGAACTGAAGGGCAATTACAAGCTTTGATAACACTATGTTTCAGATATAAAATGCATAGAGATATAAATGCAACTATATATGTATATCATGTAGCATTTTTTGCAAATTTTAGCACAAAATTTCTCTTTATCTTATTTCTTAGTGTGTTAAATTCAGCCAACAAACAGTAATTGTGTATTGAAACGAGCAGAAGAGCTGATAAAAATCTAACGATTATTCATCAAAGCAAACACAAAATTCCCTACTTTAATTTCAATTTGGGTGAAATCCCTAAAGATAAATATTTTTTTTAATTGCTGTTTTTATTTTATCAAACTGCTTTTATCTCCTAACTGTTTTTCAATTGGTTTTATTTTATTATTATAATTTTTTTTTATTATGCCTAAAAAACACATTAAGATGACACCGTCATGAAAGTGTGCTATATAAATAAATGTATTTTTATTCATGATGTAATCATGGGCAGATCAACTACAGAAAGACGAACATCTGTAACCTTAGCTAGGCCAGCACTAATATTTGCCAAGCTAACAACCGCATGGCAGAAATAGCTAACTAGGTAGATAGCTAGACTGGCTAACCACAGTGATTAGCAGCATAAAACAAAACTGGTGCCTAACTAGCATTAGCACGCTAACTAACGTTACCTACTGAAAATATGATTGTGGCTCTGAGCAGATTTTTTATGTTTTACTTGTTACCTTTTTCTGCAAATTTCATTCGTGTTACACACCGAATATATCTTTTCCATGTAAGCATACAGGGGTCATTCCACACTAACTCACAACGGGCCATCCTCATTGGATGTCCATGACAAACTTAATTTAATTAGTGAAACCATGCACAATTTCAAAGCTGTGCCCCAATTAGTTTTTCAGGTGGTTAGTTTAGTTAATTTGTTAATTTTTCTCCAATTTATCACTTTAAGAAGGGTAATTCCATGTCAAACTAGACATAATTCTGGATGTGTGTTGCTGTATGTCTCAGATTTTGTTTGTTCTTTTTTATTTATTGGGTTTGGGTTTAATATCTCTAGAAATGTAATTCTCAGCCACATTAAATTTGGCAGAGCTGAAGACAAACATGTTGTCTCCCTGTCTAAATGCTCAGGCGTCACCACAGAAGGTTAATTTTGTTCTTATGGGGTCCTCAACATGGGGAAGAAAGTGCCACATTTTCAAACTTGAGTAATATTATGTGCTTACAGACACAACTTTAATAGACTTCTGTGGTGCCTTCTAAGCATTTAGACAGGCAGAAAACATGTTTGTCTTTAGCTCTACCAAATTTCATGTGGCTGGGAATCATATTTGTGCAGATATTAAACCAAAAACATGGCCCCCCAATGGGAAATGTTCTTTTTTCCCCATACTGAGTCAGAATCAGCTGAAATACTTTGGTTTTAGACAACACAAACAACATGGGAAAGAATGAACAAAATACATGCCCAAATAAACCTAAATCTAATCTAAACTGACATGTAATGGCTCAGAAGCTGTAGAAACATGAGAAATCATGTTTACAACAACAAAAAAAACCCACCAAAATCATGACTACACATTTGCATCATGACTCCAGCCTTTGCTCAATGATCAGCACCTTCATTCATAAGCTGTTCAGCCACAAGTGACTCACCGCTCTCCGTTCCTCCTCTTCTCTGGAGAGTTTACCGCGTCCAGACGGAGCTGAGTGACTTGACCACATACGCTCTGCAACACAGGAAGCAGGTCAGGGCTAACTGGGCTCTGCTGGCCGGCGTGAGCAGCTAGCAGGGCTGACACTGCGTCTGGAACGCTGCTCTGGTTGCTGGGAGATGGAGGATGATGAGTTTCTGACTCCGGGTTCTGGCCGGCAGGTGCAGCTGAGCCGTCAGAGCCTAATTCTCCCATGGCTGCGGAGTCTGGAGAGAACGGCGAGCTTTTAGCCAGGCAGGCCAGCGCACCTCCACCCATCAGCAGAGGCAGGAAACCACCAAGGACATCTGCTTTATTCTGAGAAGAGGGAAAGAAATGCAAAAGTTTCAACATCTCTGGTGAAATTACACATTTTGTTGATTTTCCAATTGAAAATAAGTTAAAATAAGTTTAAGCAAACTTAAATATACCATTTTTCTGCCAATGTTGTGCCCGAGTTCTATTTGGTAACATATTGAAAGAAAATGAAATGTGAAATGGGTCAACTTTTGCACAAGCCACATTTTTCTTTTTCCAAAATGTTGGAAAAAATGTCCTCTGTAGAGGAGGTGCTCACTTTTTTTCACTTAGAAAATCAACGACGTGTATTTTAAGCAGGGGCGCCAAACCTTTTGTATGCGACTTTTGTATCTAAATTTTTCATATGTTAATCAGACATTACTGTTCTTATTTAGTAAAAAGTTTCATTATAGTCAAAAAGGCCTTCAAACTGGAATTTTAGTTGTGAAGCCATTCCACACATTTTGGTGTAAACGTTTCAGGCAAAAATTCATTATGAATGTTTTTAGGTTTGACAGAAATGTAGGAACAGTACAGAAAACCTAAAGTTTGCAAAATGTCACAAAAATAAGTTTGAAATCTGACTGAAAGATTACATTTCATCTGACATCCTCCAACAAATGAACCAGTTGAGGGCATTTATTAACACAAAACTAGTTGAACTGCAGTAAAACATTACTCTCAGTATTTATAGTTATACTGTATTTATGTATTTAAAGTGTTAAATAGTGTTAAAGTTAATATTTCAGCTATTTCTGTAAGCAGTTAAACTCCAACTTCAAACTTTAAAACTTCATAACTAACCATTAATTGGAGCACAGCCTTGAAATTCTGCATGGTTGCTTGAATCAAGTATTGCTTGAATTTTTTTTGATGGAACTCAATGATGCAAACAGACAGGCCCGTGGTGAGCTGTTATATGCAAAATATGCAAATTGCAGTGAAATTAAACCAAAAAGTAAAACAATCTGTTAAAAACAACTGTCATATTTTAATTAGGCAATGTTAGTTAACTTGCTAATGCTTGTTAGGCACCAGTTTTGTTCCTCATGCTAATGATTCTAGCTAGCTAGTCCAGCTAGCTAACAATTTTTCTACCGTGCTTTTGTTATCTTAGTTAATGCATGTGCTAATCTAGTTAATGCTGCAGCTGTTCAGACTGCATATAATAATAGCTCTATTTACGTAGCACACTTTCATGACAAAGTGATTAAGTTGTTTTATCATCAAAAGTATAAAAACACGTTGCAACAATAAAATGGATTAAAATACAATTAGGAAACAAAATTAGAAAATGTAGAGAAATATAATATTTTAGTTGTAATCGGAGATTTTTCCCCAATTTGTTGACAAATTAAAGTAAGAAATCTGCCCTGTGTTTGCTTTAATAAAAGCAGATTGTGGATATCATCAGTCATATTAACTTCTATTACTATAAACACCACAAGGGATGGAAGCTTATGGTCCACTAATTAGCATAACTGCATACCTAACTCATACTACTAATAACAGACTGTTCCAGACCTTCTGCTGAAACTGCACCATTTCCATCAGGTTCTGCGCTCCTGGAGAGAGGGTTGTCCCCATCTGCTCCATCATGGCTTGGACACGCTGAAGGTCGATGCCTGGGCTTGCGCTCAGGGGGCAATGAGTGGCCTGGAGGAATTGCAGTCCAACAGTCACCTGGGCCACGCCCACCGCCGAGCGCCCACCAAGAGAGAGCAGCTGCGTAGAGAGATCGGAGAGAGGGAGCATATTCAACACTCATCTGCACATTCATCTCAACACTCATCTAAACGCTACACACAACAACTCAGCTGAACACTTACTATTATTAATAACAGATAGATAGGTAGATACTAGAGCCCGACTGATACAGAACTCCAATAGAAGTCCAATAACGATATGAGGATCTAAAAATCTGATATACCAAGGTCCGTGTACCTTCTGTTCATTTGATTTTCATTTTAAAGATCAGTATTAAAAAAAGTGGCAAATGGGTCGATTCTCATTTCTGGTTCTGTTATTGTCAGTGGAAAAATCAAGCAGTAGCTTGGTTTTACAGTTTCACAAACTAACCATAAAACCAAAAAACAACAAACAACAATGGAATAAAGGGTCGTAGTCTAATGATCCAAATTTAGAATTTCCCATCATAAGCAGAAATAAACGTGCAGAGCGCGGGTATGGAAGCTCAGAAATCACGTACAGAAGTCAGGCCTGTGGTTCTGGTGTATTGACAGGCTATATTATTTTTTGTATAAGCGTTTGTATATTTGACCTGTACAAACTATATGTGAAAGAAACGGTATAGGGAAGAAACTGAACTCCCACCATTTGATGGGGCTTTGTGCTCTGCAGATCAGCTGCAGATGCTCAAGTTCAACAAGTATTCTGCCGGTGTTGTGCCGAACTCCCCTATGCATGCACGCGCATCATACAGGTATATGGACACTAGATTACATTCTATCTTTCAGTCATAATGACCAGTACTGTAACAGTACTGGGGCAGTCGTGGGCTGGAGGTTAGGGAACCAGCCTTGTGACCGGAAGGTCACCGGTTCGATCCCCTCAGCTGACTGAAGTGCCCTTGAGCAAGGCACCTAATAACCAACTGCTCCCCAGGCGCCGTGGATAGGGCTGCCCACCGCTCCGGGCAAGTGTGCTCACTGCCCTCTAGTGTGTGTGTGTTCACTAGTGTGTATGTGGTGTTTCACTGCACGGATGGGTCAAATGCAGGGGTCTAATTCCGATGTGTTCAGACACAGTTGGCTAAAAAAAAGGTTCATTTCATTTCATTTCTTAGTGAAGAAGGAGACTTAGGAGAGCCTGTCATTCTGCTACAAGAAGTGCTCTTTATTGACACATACAGGGCAGCCCCTCAGCAATGAAGGTCATCTCCACTCCCTCAGCTTCACAGTAGACACTTAACCCAACTAACTAAACACACCCAGGCCGGGGGGGCGCAAGGGGGTGCTGGAGAGGTGCTGAAGGCCCCCTGAAAAACGTTCAGTGCCCACATTATCACCCCTGAAAAATGATGAATTCCCTTGTTTGATTCAGACCGTCGTGAAAAAACGCTCCCAGAAGCGAACTGAGCACAGAGTCCTGAGCACAGAGACCCCCGGAACAGCTCTAACATGCCTCTAAAGCTCCTTTCCCCCCAAAATCGGTGCCACATTATTAGAAGAACACTATGATCACAGAACAGCGCACACAGCGGGAGTTGTGTCGCGTGTCAGCACAGTTTTTATGCTAATACAATAAAGTCAATAAACACATATAAAACGTTATTGTCTTCCATAATGCCAGATCTAGGCTGACATTCTCAACACTCATGCTCGATCTTTCCTGGCCTCATCATTTTTTAACTGCGACCGCCTGATTTCTGAGCTCCTGCGACCATGGGTGCACTCAAAATGGACCCCTTTATTCCATTGCTGTTTGTTTGTTATTTGAATTTTTACATTTGTAAAATGAAGCAATTTCTTGTTTCTCGACTGACAATAACAGAATTAAAAACGAGAATTGACCCATTTGCCATTTTTCAATACTGGATTTTGAATTTAAAATTAAATGAACAGAAGGTACACCGACCTACCAATATACTGGCCAATGTTCTTTTCTTTTCTTCAGAAATACATAACATAAAGATTCTTCTCCCCAAGATAACATGACATAATGCAGTTTCAAAATAAACTTGCGATTTTAGGATTTCACACTGTGGTGTTACGCATGCAAATAAACATCCATCACACTATCGTTTCAAGAATTTGATGCGGGAGCACCTAAACATGCCGGGTTACGCAAAACTATACTGGAACCCCTTTTTGAGACGTGAATAACGTCTCACAGCATATCAATGCGCACTGCAATCCAACAAAACAGTGCCATTACAGTGCATGCGTGTTTGAAACAATTAGCTAGATAACTTTGTTTGGTTACCAAGCCATGTTAGATACTTGTTCAGCTAATGTTTATTTACGTGTCCCTGTTTGTTTCTGAATTTCAGCTCCGTCATTCAGGCAGGCTTAGTTAAACGGTATGGTTTAACCGCTCATTGACGTTAGTTTTATTTCACTGACAAACACAGCCTTAGCTAGCTTTGTGGGTAACTCACTTTAGAAATGAACAGCATTATAAGCCGCTGTAAGCGATGTTGGCAGAGAATGTTTAGAAGTGACAATGTAGGGAGAAAAGACAGGCTAACTGTGATGTTTGCCTGACAGGACCGGCGTTCATGTTACTGCACCACAGGCAGGCATGGCTGACATGAATGTTGCCAGGCTTATTTAGTTAAGAGGAGAAGTGATGGGGCTATTTTTATTATTATTTAAGTAACATATTTCACATGACAGTTATCAACTTACCATAAACGCTGATAGCCTCTTTTGTGAGGTAAAGTTATTCTGCTCGACTCTGCTTGGTCAGCTGATTTTTGTTATGTTTGGAAGCCTGTATTGCCAACAGGGCAGTTACTGAGCGCCCTCTGATGGACAAACTTCGCAACAACACTCATAACATGGCCGAAGGATCGGTCTTCTGCTTCTCAGTTTTTTTCTTTAACTGTCATTTATAAATGGCGATACGATTTATGTGCAACTAGTTCATATCGGCCGATAATATCGGAACACTGATTCATCGGTCGGGCTCTAGTAGACACATAGAATATGTATGTAGAAAATACAGGTAGTAAAATATCTACTACTACTTATTATTACTATTATTACTATTATTATTATTATTATTTATTACAACTAAATAAATGAATAACAGTACAACTACTAGTAATCTTACAAAGATAGATTAGATAACCAAAAAGGGTTCTTTGGCATGTAACAATAGTGGAACCCTTTCCGGTGCCATACAGAATCATTTTCCAAACTACATAGAACCATTGACAACACATTCTCCATCAATCTGAAGAATGCTGCATGATGCAAAGAACTCTAATCATGCAAAGGGTTCTTTGAGTGTTCATGGTTCTATATAGAACCATTTTCCTTTCTAAGGAACCCTTGAAGAGCCGTCTTTTTAAAGAGTGTACTCCTATCAATAAAAGCAGTAACAACACACTGGTTAATGCCTTAGAATTCCATCAAAGAAACATCTGTCCATACCTTCACCTCACATGAAGCTAGTGGGCTTTCCAGCACCAGCTGACACCTGTAGAAGGGTTTCCTCTCCTCAGCGCTACTGCAAGAAAGAACACACCAAACAGATGTAGCAGGAGATCATACAGCATCAGACACATTAATATTAGACATAGATAACATACAGTATCAGTCAAATGTCACTGAATCATCTCGTAAAGAATCACTGTCGAATCAGTGTGAGGTCAGAGATTTACACCCCTCTTCACTTTAGGATGTTTCTGGAGTTCTTGGGAGCAGAAGCTCCAACACTGAGGAGACCGATCGTCCACATACCTGCCGCTCTGCCATCTCTGGTCCTCGTCCCCTCGGCAGGTGCCACAGTAATCTCCAGAGAGAGAATACACCTCTATAGTGCGCGCCTCACTGACAATAACAACACGGCTGATTACGGCCCCAGAGTTTGGGTTACATAGCAGCGTGATGACACACGGTGAGCCTTCCTCAGCGCGCTCCAGACAGACCGGCTCACACCTGGGACAGGGGGTTACATCATCATTATCATCATCATCATCATCATCATAATCGTCACCACCTTGTACTTTTTATTTTATTGATCTGATAAAGCTATTCTATTTGTATTTTAATTTTTTATTTCATTTTTGTAAATCACTTTGAGCTGCTACTTGTATGAAAGTTGCTCTATAAATAAAGTCTATTATAATTATTTATTTATTTATTTATTTATTATGAACGTTCCATCAAAAGCACCCATGCATGAAAATACCAGCTTTTTTTTTTTTTAGAGCAAGGCTTGTCCTGGACAGTCTACGACAGGCCAATTTGCTGGCCACCTTTGCTGAAAGCTCCACCAAACAAGATTCAAACTTTTCCGCTTTTCTGTATTTATTCCAGAGCTATACATGTATTATTTTTTCATATATCATATATATTTTTAAATTTCTAAGTAAACAATGTCCTTTAAAGATCTGTCACAACATCTAAATAAATAAACTATGGCCATTACAACATCAGTAATAATTTGGTGATACCGAAAAAACAGTAATACTAACAAAAAGTAAATCTAATAAAGAATAGATAATAAATAAATTCACACAAATAATAAAGATGAAAATGTTAATAACAACAACAACAATAATAATAATTATAATAATAATAATAGCAACAATAACAACAAAATAAAAAAAATACAATTTAATGCTAATGACGTTAATACTAATAAAACTGTATACAATAAACATTGCATACTACTACCAATGTAATACTACCAACAGGTCAATAACTAAAATGTATATATACTTAATAACAATTGACGAGGTTTCCAGTAGTAATGACAATAACAAATACTGAAATATTAACAGCAAATAATAAAGATAATAAAGCACCCAGTCTTAATATTAAAATGAGAAACAAACAAATTTAGTGCTGATATCACTACTAGTACCAATAAAAATATACAAACATGTTATAGAAAATATTCATATAAAAAAATATAATAAGGGATTAAACACAGTAGTAAGTACTTCTAAAGTACTAACAACAGATCAATAAACATAAATGCATAGAAGAAGAAGAAATGTTTCTAATTGAAATAAATAAGTAGTAGTGCGAACACTACTAATAAAGAACACCATAAACAGACACATTGATCAGATGATGATACAGTGAGACGTGTCTGACTTACTGTGCAGCAGGCTGTTCGTCTGATTCTGTCAGGGTGCTGATGATGTCTGAGAGCTGAGAGCTGGAGGAACAGACCCAGGAAGAGATTCCGCTCACTACAGCACCTTTACTCACACTCATCCTGCTGCTGAGAACACATACAGACACAGCAGTGACCAGAACATCCACTATAAACAATAAATAACAGTGGTGGACAGTAACGAAGTAAATGTAATTCGTTACATTTTGGGCGACTTTTTACTTTCACTCCACTACATTTCGAAGTCAAATATCTCACTTTTTACTCCACTACATTATGAGAAATCTGTCGTTCCTTTTGTCTTATGTGTGTATAAAAACGTAACATGTCAAAGCGAAAGAAGCGCAAAGCAAAAACACCAATCACTTAGTTTTGAGCTTGTTTTGACCTGTTGGTCATACCGACCCAGTGCAGCACACGGTTCAACATCAGTGCAGCAGCGTAACATTTTGGGAGTGTCTATTCAACATAAATGATGAACTAACCTAACTTTGTGTAAATAGACCACAGTATAGAAATATGTACACATATGCAGTTGTGACTGACGTGTCTTTTTTCTGAATTTATACAAACACGATTTCATTTTATAGTAAATTTGTTTTGGCTGGTTTATGTTTATGAACAGAGACCTACAGATGCAATATAGTAAAGGAAACTCATTTGTGAATCTGAGTTTAAAGCAAGTTAAAGCAACTTAAACTTGTAACTAAGTTGCAAATAAATCTTAAACTGAAACTTTGCTTGTTTACAAAAAGTTACTTCAGAGCCACTCAGTTCTACCTGATAGAAATTGTCTGCCTTCAGTGTTTTGTGCTTATGATAATTTTAATAGACATCAGCATCACTAATTAATGACATTCGATTAAAAGACTGGTTTACCAAGAGAGACACTGGAGTATTTTCACCTAAAATGAGTTAATGAAGCAGAGTCATGTTACAGAAATGATAATAGGACATTGAGTGTGTGTGTTAGTGAGTGTGAGTGTTAGTGAGTGAGTGAGTGTGAGTGTTAGTGAGTGAGTGAGTGTGAATGTGAGTGTGTGTGAATGTGAGTGAGTGAGTGTGTGAGTGAGTGTGTGTTAGTGAGTGAGTGTGTGTTAGTGAGTGAGTGTATGAGTGAGTGTGTGTTAGTGAGTGTGAGTGTTAGGGAGTGAGTGTGTGAGTTAGTGAGTGAGTGTGTGAGTGAGCGTGAGTGTTAGGGAGTGAGTGTGTGAGTGTGTGTGTGTGTGTGTGTGTTAGTGAGTGAGTGAGTGTAATACAGCTGCAGCACTGGCTGCTCTGTAAACCTCACAGATTTAAACGAAGCTGAACTCAGCACGCTATTCGAATTTTCCGTTCCACCTTAAATGGAGCAGCACTTACATTCTGGCGTCTCAGCCGTTATAATAATACGCCGCACCATTTAAGGTGGAACGGAAAATTCGTATAACGAGCTGTAAAAGCTCTACAACGTGACCTGCTACACGACTGACACCGCAGCGGAGACAGCAGAGCCCTCCACTCCTCCTGCTCTAACGGTGTGATTTTACACTCCCGCTGTAAAATTAATTTAATTTAATTACATTAAAATTAAAATAAATATAAACTCAAAACCCGCTCACCGAGCTGCCGCTGCCTCTGAGTCATCACCCTGCGACGGGCTCGCCTCGAGGACCCCAAAGGAGGATATGCTCCTGCGCCTGTTTAAAAGTAATAATAACAGTAACGATGTTATTATTATTATTATTATTATTATTATTATTATTGTATTTCTGTCTAAATATGATGACTATTTTATGTGCTTTTTTGACCTAACTAGCTAACAAGGAAACTTTATTTTAATTTTTTGATGTATCGCGCTTGATTTTTTATACGTTTAGAATTTACAGCGCAGATTTAATCTTATAAAATCTAAAACCCCCAAATTAATCAGATTCACAGATAGATTAATCCAAACTGCTCGCAATTCAGACTTTTTTAGCCGTTAAACACACTGTTGTGTCGAGGCTGCGTAAATTCTGCTGATCTACAGCTCATGTGCCGCTCGAATTTTCTGGTAAATCATTGTTTTGCATGATGTGGAGATCAGCAGATCCGGGGAGCGGCGAGAAAGGCAGGCTTTGTAGGCATAAAACAAGCTGGATAGATCGGCAGACAGGCAGGTTTAACTAATTGAATGCTGAATAAAATTTCCACAGCCTCCACAGAGATATTCCAGTCGAGTTAAATTATGTTAAATGATATTAAATTATGTGGCTGTGATGGTGACTGATGGTGCTAAAATGCTCTTTATGAGACTCTGTTCAACTACTGGCCCATCCTGCCCAACCAGTCCCATGACTAATTCCTAAAATATTGTGAAGAGTTTTGAACAGGCTGTAGCCCAAGACCTACCCCACCTGTTCTGTCCCTCCCATCACACTTGAGCTCATCTGTTGGAGCGCTACGCCAGAGCTCACCTGTAGGACTGCTACACACCTGAGCTTAGCCGCTGGAGAATAACATACCTGAGCTCACCTATCAGAGCGCTACACACCTGAGCTCACCTGTTGGAGCACAACATACCTGAGCTCACCTGTAGGACTACTACACACCTGAGCTCACCTGTTGGACTGGTGCACACCTACAGCTCACCTCTCTCTCACTGAACAGGCACGGCAACACTCATGATGCTCACGTAATGGAGGGGCAGAAGCGCAGAAGAGCCGGGCTATTGCTTCTTACTGTCGCAGTTGGATTACTTTACACAGTGGAGAGTCAAGGTACGGCCTGCTGGACACTCAGTGCTTCAGTTCAGGCTCTGGGGGTCAGAGTACAATGACAGGTTACCATTTGTGGAGATAAGAAAGTCTAAAATGGCATAAAGGTGCAGCTCAGTGTCTGTGAATGAATGATTGGACTGCTGAGTTACTTGTATGGTTCAACAGTGTTAGACTAAAGCATCAAAGCTGCTTTTTAAGGGTTCCGTTACTGGCTCACATTACAGATGTTTCATGTTCTCAGTGTTGGGACGTTGCTAATGCTTGTGGCCTAATGGTTTGGGCTCATATTATAGGGTCTGTATCATGGTAACCCAAATTGACCTCACTTTTTGGAATAAAAGAGTGTGAGGTAGTGTGTAAACATCATTTAAGGTACCCAGTCTGTACAGTCTGTGTAGGGGAACTAACAAGAGCAGCCCAAATTGAAATGACTTTGTGTGATGTCATAAAAACAACACATATACATATATCCGCATTCATTCCACAGCAGTTTGGCTCCACCCATTTGTGCTGAAGTTGAATTCTGTTTAGCATCAGCTTTCAATTCAGTTTAATTGTTATCCATTCTCTTACATTGTATTCACTCTGATTTAGGGCTGGTATCATGGATATCATCACCCTGCTGAAAAGAATCCTTTATTTGTTTCTGTTGGTTCCCAATGGTTTTTTAATGGCTTGGCATCACAAAAGGATCCTAATGGTTTAACAGGTGACCAATGGCTGATTATACATGTATTTGATGGTTTTCTAATGGGATCTAAAGGTGTTCTACAGGAAACTAGTGGTCTTAATTCCCAATTAGAAAGCAAAACCATTAAGTTTTAACCCTCAAGGATTCTAAAGGTCCTTTTTCAACAGGGCAGGACTTAAAAGTCACTTCCTAACTGCATATTTGTTTAAAAAGAGGGCTCGGTCAGTCCAGTTTAACTGGATTTAGTGCAGCACAGTGTGAGAAATTTTACATATAAGCGGTTGATAGTGTATTTATAATGTGGCACTACTTTGTCTGCCCTAACTTACCGGATGTCCGAAAAAATAAATATTGTGACACATTGTGTATTGTAAAAAACATACTGAAGTATTGTGATGTTATATTTTGCCATAGTGCCCACCTCTGTAGTATTTGCTACTACATCTAGTTAAACAGGACTAATAAATCAGACTTTTAATGAAACATGCAGTTGGTCAGTGATCTACAAGTACTGATGATAACCCACAATATACTCAGAAAAGTGTATTGTAACATATTGTTTTGTTATTCATCGCAATAACCAGGGGTCGCAACCCAAATGTTAAGAAGAGCCATTTTATCCTTTCAACAAAAATCAAACTCCCTTGGAAGCCACAACATTTTAAGCCCATTTTACCATCTTGGCTGTAAATATGTCTCAGTATGTGCTGATGTGCTAGTATAGGATAAAAACTTTAAACGAAAACACAGACTTACTTTGCTCTGCTTTAAGCTTTAGCTCAGCTATAGCTGCTTTTCTCGCATCTCCAGCAGGAAACTTTTCCAGAAAAGTAGAACAGTTTCTTGTAAAACGTCTCTCAGCATTCAACTTTTTACGAGGCTGAAGTCGCTTCTCATTCACCAGCTTCTCATTTAAATTTTCCCGTTCCACCTTAAATGGTGCCTGAGGTGCCAGAATGTAACGGCTGAACCATTTAAGGTGGAACGGGAGAGTTTGAACAAGAAACTGACTTCAGCTTCGCTAATTTTTAGTGTTTCTCACTGCAGATTAAACGTATCAGGAAACCAGCTGGAGTGATTATAAATAGAAGTCCATTCGTCTCTATATGGAAGTCTGTAGAGGCCATGAGGTAGTTATAATTTTCTGGATTGTTATCTTGAGATAACGAGTTATCTTGTTATCTTGAGATCATAAGATAATTAACTTGTTATCTCAACATAGCAATTAAGAAAATTATAGCAACAGCTCATGGCCTCTCTGGACTTCCGTATCTCCAAATTATTAATGTTTGTTTTAAATCTTTCTCTTTGCCTTTTCGTTAATGCGTTGCTATGGTGACCAGCAGGCTTCATGGTTAAAATAGGCGAATAAGCAGTTCTACATTAACTCCAGCGTTTAAGATCATTTATTGTTAAACTGTGTTGAACGATCAGCAGAGCTTTATTTTACTGTAAAGGAGGATTATTTTATTTTTACCTACAAATCGAATGCAGTGGATCCACAGCAGGGCTGTAAAAGAGCCGCGTGTTGCCGACCCCTGACAATGCTGATATATTGTCATACTGCCCAGCCCTACTCTGAATGCATTTTACTGACCGCAGAGCTGCTCTGTTGACTGCAATGTTCATTCAGTTGATATTGTTGTGTTTACAGATTTGTTCCATGAACAGACATCAAAACTGAAAAGTTACCAGATTGTCACCCCTCAGGTTGTGCCCGGCCGATGGAAGAGGCATGAAAACGGCTCACAAACACACAGACAGGTGCGTCGGTCACAAGACTGCACTGCATGGACAAAACACTATGTTGCAGTTATATTGCTATATACACCGATCAGGCATAACATTATGACCACCTCCTTGTTTCTACGCTCACTGTCCATTTTATCAGCTCCACTTACCACTTACTGGTGGTGGTGTGTTAGTGTGTGTTGCGCTGGTCTGAGTGGATCAGACACAGCAGTGCTGCTGGAGTTTTTAAACTGCTGGACTGAGAATAGTCCACCAACCAAAAATATCCAGCCAACAGCGTCCTGTAGGCTGCCTCCTGTGACCACTGATGAAGGACTGGAGGATGACCAACACAAACTGTGCAGCAGCAGATGAGCTATCGTCTCTGACTTTACATGTATAAGGTGGACTGACAAGGTAGGAGTGTCTAATAGAGTGGACAGTGAGTGGACACAGTGTTTAAAACTCAAGCAGCACTGCTGTGCCTGATAAACTCAGACCAGCACAACACACACTAACACACTACCGCCACGTCAGTGTTACTGCAGTGCTGAGAATGATCCACCACCCAAATAGTACCTGCTCTGTGAGGGTCCATGGGGGTCCTGACCACTGACGAACAGGGTGAAAGGGGGCTAACCAAGTATGCCGAGAAACAGATGGACTACAGTCTGTAACTGTAGAACTACAAAGTGCACCTATATAGTAAGTGGAGCTGATAAAGTGGACAATGAGTGTAGAAACAAGGAGGTGGTCATAATGTTATGCCTGATCGGTGTATACTGTAATATGCAGTGTAATAACTGATCAGACTGCTCACAGTAAAAAGTAATTGGTTGGAGGGCTTAGAGGGCTAATTTGCATATTGCCTCCTTGTGCGATTTCAATATTTCTGAGGTCTCATTTCACACTAGTGTCTGTCTGATCACATTGTGAAGAAATTCAAGCTAAATCTTCGGACTGATTTACGCAGCCATGCAAGATATGAGAGCCATGCGCCAAAGTTTTTTAGTTATTCATTCAAGGTTCATATCACATATTAAATATTGATTTTAAAGGGGAAATCCATTCTGCATAATTCAGTGGTCATTTTTACAAAGTCATTCAGAGTGGTTTGGTGTGAAATGGTTCACTGTAGAGACTCTTTTCTTTACAGTGGTGGTGAATGGAACCAGGGGTCACCATGTCTACAACACAAATATAGCCATTTTATTTATTATCTAAACCCACCAGTGAACCTACACGTGTCTTCTGAGTTTTGTATGGAATGTTGATGATGGTAAAATAGTGGTCAATCTGAAAAATAACAATTTTTTGGGGGGGGACTATTTTGCCTTAGAACACCATTTATGTATCCCTCCACCTTGAATGGATTCAAATATGTTTTGAGCCAAAACTTCACTATTCATAACCACTTCATCTAATAACGTTGTGTGTTTTTATATGGAATGTTGCTGATGGTAATATACTGGTAAACATGACAAAATACACTTCCTTGTGGGACTATTTTGCCTTAGAACACCCTTCTTGTTGCCTTCCACCATGAATGGATAAAATAAGCCGATTAAAATACATTTTAAACCAAAACTTTATCACAAAACTGCCATAAAACAAGACATAAGGCTACGTATTCTTAACTATTTCATGTAATAACTTTCTGAAATGGAGCTATTAAAGGTGGTTCCTATCACCACCACTGTGAACAATTCTGACTCTAAACCAAAGTATTTCACACCAAACCACTCTGAATGACTCTGTTTACATCGTAACCATTTAATTATGTAGAATCTTTTGAAAAATTGGTGGAGTTCCCCTGACTGAACAGGAGCTGAATATTAACTGAGTTTATATACAACTTTAAAAACATTACTTTAAATGAACTGAATTCTCGCAACAGAGTAATATATGGAAGGATCTATTAGTGACCTCATTGTGTTTGTGCTTGCAGAATGGTCACTCTGATCAGATCACTTACTCGATCAAGATAGATGACGTCATCCACTACCTACATCTGACCAAAAACAAGTAAGAAACATTTACCTCGTGCATCACTCCATTCACTGCGTTGAAATGTGTGAGTTCATGTTGACGTGTGTTTTGCTCTTTGTTTTCTCAGAGACTTTTTATCTCCTGACTTTGCAGTGGTTTCTCACGATGTTCAGAAGAAGTCAGTGAGGAGACACACGGGAAAGCCAGTAGGTTTACCTTTTGTTAAGTGTTTTGGTCGGTGGCGTGGCCACAACTTAGTAAGGCATAGGAACGAGAAAATTAAGTGGTGGCCACGACTTAGTAAGGCATAGGGACAAGATCCTAATGCGTAGCCACGACTTAGTAAGGCATCGGAACGAGATAATTAAGTGGGAACCACAATTTAGTAAGATGTGCGGACAAGATCCTAATGTGTGGCCACGACTTAATAAGGCGTGGGAATAAGATGATTAGGCCTTGACTACAGCTTAATAAGGCATGATCTCGTTCTCACTCCTTACTTAGTCATGACCACAATATTTGTATTTATACGGGATGTCACCAGCAGGGCTCCATACGTTTTCACACCAAGCATATTTTTTCGGACGGCGAAAATGTGATGTTTTATTTGCCCTCTGATCGATTTTTTTCGAATTTTTTGTCTGTGACATGAACTCCCTGACTAAACAACATATCGTGATCCTTATCACGTGTCTTCTAGTACTGCAGTGTTCTATTTTTACCATATCGCCCACCATTATGGCTTAGTGTTCTCCAGTGAGCATGTTGAGGCTCTTGGCAATGCAAAAGTTTTGGAAAGATGTGAAAGAAATTCTGGATATTTTCCAAATACATATTAAATGTATTTGGAAAAAAAACACTTTTTTTATCAAAATTTGATCAGATTTGATGTCTGTGATTAGAGAATCAATAAGGACCTCAAACCTTTAGGATTCTGTAGAAATCCTGTCTTGAAGTTCACGTAACAATGCTTCTGCTGTGTTAAAATGTACTCATCGTGTAAGTCTATCCAGCATTGTATAGCAGGAACCTGATGAAGATAACTGCTGTTAGCAACTCAGAAATGTGTTGTATGTGGTTTTGGCTGGAGTTTCTTTTCAAGTGCTCTTGCAGACATGGGTTTTAAGCTATTGTGTCAGCGTTCCAGTCATTCCTGATCAAACTGATCATGAAGCTCCACCCGTAGCCAGCTGTACAGGTTAGACTTCTTGCAAGTGAAAGTTTGAGCCTCATTCTTCACCCTTCACCCTTTATTTGGTCCTTGTGGCATTTATCCTTCAATTCTTCCGTGTACATTTACATTTACATTTACAGCATTTAGCAGACGCTCTTATCCAGAACAACTTACAAAAAGTGCTTTGTCTATCCAGAGAAAGTGTCTTTGCTAGTTACCAATAGGTTAGAGAGAAAGCCAGTCCTGAGCTCAGATACTGCTAGAATCAGAAAGTCGTTATTGACACCTAGAGAAAAAGGAACAGAGTTAAACACAGAGCAGTGCAATTCAATACAATACATAAGTGCAGTACAATACATTACAATCAATACTTAACTCAGTGCTCATTTAAGTGCTGTATAAACAGATGTGTCTTCAGTCTGCGTTTGAAGACAGCGAGAGACTCTGCTGTACGGACAGCCAGTGGGAGTTCGTTCCACGACCTGGGTGCCAGCACAGAGAACAGTCTTGATGCTTGCCTTCCGCACGCCTTGAAGGACGGCGGGTCAAGCCGAGCTGTACTCGAAGCTCAAAGGGCTCGTGGTACAGTTCGAGATTTCACCATTGCCATCAAGTAGGGAGGGGCTGGTCCATTTTTGGCTTTGTAGGCAAGCATAAGGGTTTTAAATCTGATGCGTGCAGCTACAGGAAGCCAGTGAAGGGAGCGCAGCAGTGGGGTGACGTGGCTGAACTTGGGGAGATTGAAGACGAGCCGTGCTGCTGCATTCTGGATGAGTCGCAGAGGCCTGATGGCCTGCATTGGAAGACCAGCCAAGAGCGAGTTGCAGTAGTCAAGCCTTGAGATCACAAGAGACTGAACGAGCACCTGGGTGGCCTCTCGAGTGAGAAAGGGTCGGATCCTCCGGATGTTGTACAGGAGAAATCTGCATGACCAAGTTAGGTTCGCAGTGTGAGTCGAGAATGATAACTGGCCATCCAGAACCACACTTCTTGCATTCTTGCCTCTACAAATGGGACAATCAGAGAGTTCTCGAATGAGATGGCAAGATCATGATGAGGACCTGTAGTTGCAGGGATGAATAGCAGCTCAGTCTTGCTAGGATTGAGCGTCAGGTGGTGAGCTGCCATCCATGAGGAGATGTCAGACAGACATGCCGAGATCCCACTGGAAACCTGTGTGTCAGAGGGCGAGAAAGAAAGCATTAGTTGAGTGTCCTCAGCATAACAGTGATAAGAGAAGCCATGAAATGATATAACATTGCCAAGAGAGCTAGTGTAAAGAGAAAAGAGAAGAGGACCTAGCACCGAGCCTTGTGGGACACCAGTGGAGAGCCTGCATGGAGAGGATGTGGACCCTCTCCATGTTACCTGGTATGAGCGATCTTCCAGATAGGACTTGAACCACTTCCACGCAGAGCCAGTGATTCCAAGGTTGGTGAGGACGTCCAGAAGGACTGTGTGGTTGACCGTGTCAAAAGCTGCAGAGAGGTCAAGAAGAATCAGGACAGATGACAGGCAGGCTGATCTTGCTGACTGGGGCTTCTCGGTCACTGCTATAAGAGCAGTGTCTGTTGAGTGTGCTGGTTTGAAGCCAGACTGGTTGGGGTCCTGGAGCTGGTTCTGTGTGAGAAAGAGAGACAGTTGATTATAGACTGCACGTTCAAGAATTTTTGAAAGGAAAGAAAGGAGTGATACCGGTCTGTAGTTGTTGACAGAGCTGTCAGGCGTGGGCTTCTTCAGGATGGAAAGCACTCTTGCAGTCTTGTTGATGGAACTTCACCTGATGACAAGGACTTGTTAATGAGAAAAGTGATGAAGGGCAGTAGATCCTTGGAGATTGACTGGAACAATGCGGATGGAATGGGATCCAGTGGGCAGGTGGTTGGGTTACTGGATTTGATCAGTTGAAGGACAGCATCTGTGGAAAGAGAAGAAAAACAGTTTAAGGGATTGAGAACGAGAGGAGGGGGTCTAGTGGAAGGAGTGGGGGCAGAGGGAAAAGACTGGCGGATTCTATCAACCTTCTCCTCAAAGAAGGTGACAAAATCCTCAGGAGTGAGAGAAGAGGGTGGAGGGGGAGGAGGAGGGTTATGTGTGGGCTTTATGTGTGGGCTTGCTAATCCTTAAAGATTGGCCTTGAGAGTGAAGTTGACCCAGGCCTCTTGGAACAACCAAAATTCAGTTTTTGAGATTTTCAGTGACTTTAATTAAAATATATATATATATATATATATATATATATACATCACAATAAAATTATACATCACAATAAAATATATAAAAGCTGGTCTCTTCTATGCTATGCTATGCTTATAACTCAGCAATTGACTCTAAATGTTGTAGACTAAACTAGCTAGCAAATAACAAATTAAGCTAGCTAGTTAACTGGATGAGCAGCAAAGGACACCATAGCTACAGGAGCTGGCTGAGGCCTCCTGGAATTCTCAAAATTTCAAATTTCAAAATTCAGCTATTGAGATTTTCAATGGTTTTCATTTTTTTAAATCATGAGAATGCAATCAGAGTAAATGCATTAACATTGTGTCTTTACATTAAACAGAAAAACAACTCTAATAGCAGCTGCCTCTAAATGCTGTAGGCTATGTAAACTAGCTAGCGAAAAACAAAATAGCTAAACTCATTGGAGCTAGCTAATTGGATGAGTTGCAAAGAAGACCACAAAAACAAAAGGAGCAAGGCCTCCTGGAATTTTACAAATTCAATCCTTGAGATGTTCAGTAAATTAAAAAAAAAAAAAACATGGAACTGACATCAAAGTAAAATACGTTAACATTTCGGTGTGTTCTGTGTTTTAAACAGAAAAACAACTCAGACAGAAGCTGAAGCTAAACGCTGTAGACTAGCTAAACTAGCTAGCTAATAACAAACTAGCTAACCTAGCTAGCTAACAGGTTGAGCCACAAAGGAGAGCTTAAAATCTAAAGGCCTTAAAATTCAGTCCATGAGATTTTCAGTGGTGATGTTTTTAAAAAACCATGGAAATGGAATCAGTGTAATGCACAAGTTTGTGTTTTTTTTTAATGCTGTAAACAGAAAAACAAATCAGATGGCAGCTGACTGTAAATGCGTAGACTAGCTATTAACAAACAAGCTAATCTAGCTAATTAGATGAGAATCGTTTATCCCTGTCCTGATCTTACTTCCTTTGTTTTCTGGTTAGGATTTTTACAGTGTTATTGGATGAATCATACATATCAGACACGTCAGTCAACAACTCAGGAACCTCAAAAAGGCATAGGAAGATATGTTTGTGCCCTTTAGTTAACTTAAAAATAGTCATAAATAAACACAGCGAAGTTAGTACACTGAATTAAAATCAGTTTTAATTAAGTTTTACAGTTAACTTTAATGGCTAGCATGATAATGAAAGCATACTAACTCGCTAACTGTGCCTGAAGGTCCTTGGGAAGTGAAATCAGGACGGGGATGTGAGATTGGCTTCATACCGGAATGGAGACCATATAAACTGAAGGAGTTATCCGAGTCCTCCTTGAGTTTTTGAGTGGTTTTAATGCTTTAAAAAGCATAGAAATGAAATCAGAGTAAAATATATGAAAGTTTGCATCTTATCAAAACACTTTATCCACTAACAGGCTAGCAAAACTAGCTAGCTGATAATAGACTAGCTAAACTAGCTGACGGACTAGCTGAACTAAGCTAACTGAGTGAACTGTAAGGAGACTATAAAAACTTGGCCGAGGCCTCCTGGAATTAACAAAATTCGGTTCTTGAGCTGTTTAGTTTAATATTAAAAATAACATGGAAACAAAATCAGTAAAATACATCACAATTCATCTCTTTTATGCTGTAAACAGAAAAAGAATTCAGAGAGGAGCTAACTAATGTTGTAGACTAGCTAAACTACAATCCTTAAAAGATGGTACTTTGCAACCTTGCATGTTAAGCTTTAGAAGAACCCTTTTGGGTGCTATTTAGAAATCTTTTCAAAAAGGTTCTATATAAAACCATCTGTAGTACATTCATGCAAATTTCCCATCAATCTGAAGAACATTCATGATGCAAAGAACTCTTTAATCATTCAAAGGGTTCTTTGAGTGTTCATGGTTCTGTATAGAACCATTTTCTTTACTAAAGAACCCTTGAAGCACCATCTTTTTTAAGGGTGTAGCTAGCTAACTGTAAAGGAGCTGTAAAGGAGACCATATAAACTAAAGGAGTTGGCCAAGGCCTCCTGGAATGATGCAAATTTAGTTCTTGAGACGTTTTCTGGTTTTATTGTTTTAAAAAAGACATGGAAATGAAATCAGAGTAGTACATTGAAGTTTATGTCTCTTATTCATAGTATTTGATTACGTTATTAAGAAAACCACTTCGGCACGTTGGTAGGCAAGTAGCTCAGATAGAGCTCGTCTCATCACCTTTACTGCAGTTACAACCCTGCAGGTGGCTGAAGACCTAAAACAAAATAGATCAGAATGACACAAAAAACATAAAAAGATATGTAGACAAAGATATGCAGTCTCCAGAAAATGCTACAAGGAGATCAGGTAGTTTGGTGGACTGGATCCATATAACCTGCATTTCTCCAGAGTTCAGAACTTGTCAATCTGTCAGATTTTACACAAACTAATAAAAGTGTCTACCAAAGCTCTTAAATAGTAAACCCCTACACATCGATAAAGCTGAAGCTAGCTTTTTATCCACCAGCTTCTCATTTGAATTTTCCATTCCACCTTAAATGGTGCTGCAGTTACACTGAGGTGCCTTAAATGTAGAACGAATTCCAAAAGTTGGCGAATACAAAACAGACATCAACTTAAACCTCAATGAATGTATCCCCATTCAACAAATACCTCAGACATTCACAACTGTTAAAGGAGCAGCTAACGAGCAGAAGCTCTTGCACGTCTTATTGGCTGATCTAATGCCGTGTCCCAAACCACACACTTCTGTACTTTACGTGCTACACTAATGAGTGCACTTCTAATGTGATATGCGCTATTTTTACACACTATTTAGTGTGCCAGTATGCAGTTTGGGACGGGGCGCTAGTAACAGCAAGAAACCTTAGCCATTTAGATTTCAGCTCACAGCTACAGCAACAAATCAAATAAAATCAAAGCAAATAGATTGGTTATTTCAAAAACTGATCTAAAAAAAAGTGTTCTATATGGCTTTGTTATCCCATTACAAACCAGTGCAGCACTGCTGAATGAACCTGCCTAACAAAATGGTGGCAGTGTAAATGTGATGTCAATTTGCTGACCTTAATGCTGCGTTTAGGTGGTGTTGGAACCCAGGAAATACCAGTTTTCCCACTTGTGAATGGCTGGGAGGCTAGATGATACACAAGATGACAAGATGTGACTTATTACGCAACCTTTCACCTTTAACATGAGTGAAAAATGTTAAACTTGCAGCGAATCTGGAAAAATATATATACCTGACGTACTTCCATTAGATCTGCTTTGGAGATACAAGGTTTTCTTCCAACAGCTGCGATATATTTAATTGTACATTAAATAGAAATTTAAATTATAATGAAAAAATTTAAATTTGTAAAAAAAATTCTGCGTAATTCTGTGGTTGAGTGAATGGAACCAGGGGTCGCATCCGAATGGAATCAATTCGTATTTGCTAGTTAACCATCTGGTATATGCAACCTTCCAATGACCAACCAAACACAGCATGAATGCTATTGGTTCTCAGTTATGGTCCTGGAGTAAGGTACTCCTAAAAACCTGACGCTAAAAAAACTTAACACACCCATCCTGAGGTGAAGTGGGAGTGCTGAAGCTGCTGAGAGAACACTACATGTGGAACTGAGGACTAGCTAGCTGGCTAATTAAATGAGCTGTAAAGGAGACCATAAAAAACTCAGAAGCCCAGATTGCTCTCAAGAGTTGGCAACCCCAGTTTACAGGTCATTTCCTTGTCTGTTGTAGAAATCCTGTCACTATCATGGACGCGTGGAGGGCCGTGAGGACTCGCTGGTGGCTCTGAGCAGCTGTGATGGTATCAGGTGTGTATTACAATAAAACTGTGGGCTTTTGCCTGCTAAACCAGCCTTTGACCTTCATCTTCACTGGTGAAAGGATCTATTGTGTACACTAAAACAAGGAAATCTGTTAAACAAACAGAAAAGTCTGTGTCAGTATCTCACATGACTGATGCCTCAGGTGGTTTAGTGTTAATGATACTATATTTGAATATATTGCTCCTGTGGTGGTGTAGTACAATAGAACACTGTTTAGTGTTTTTTTTGCAGTTTTCATTTTATTTATTTATTTCCTTAACACCTTTTAAAAATGCCAGCTGCTCTTTACAATGATAATGGACCAATAGAAATGATCTTGACTTGAAGTTAAATAAATTAACATAAATTCTTTGCAAAAAGGGTTCTAGATAGTGCCAAGTATAGGTTCTATGACTTGTGACAATGGCAGAACTCTTTTTGATGCTGTATAAAACCATTTTTAATTGATTTTTCATATATATATATATATATATATATATATATATATATATATATATATATCGCTGCTGTCAGAACAAAACCTTATATCTCCATTTTTGTCGTTTTTCAGTTTTTGACAGAATTTAAAAATGCCTGTTGCCCTTTATATTGTGAGTAAATTTCATGAATGACATGATGAATGGACGAAGAGAAATGGCCAAAAATGACTTGGAAAAAAGTCTGGTTCCATTGACTTACATTGAAAGTAAAGGTTGTTTTTTCCTTCTCCTGTAAAGTTCTCATTTTGGAGAGGTTTTATTCTGACCGCTGTAACACATTTAATGTGCACATTAAATGGAAAAATAAAAAATAAAATGGAAAATTTGAATTTTTAAAACATTTCTGTGTAATTCTGTGGTTGAGTGAATGGAACCAGGGGTCGCCATGTCTACAACACACATATAGCCATTTTATTTACTGTTATTTACTATCTTGTGTATTTTATATGTAATGTTGATGGTGGTAAAAAGAACTATTTTGCTTTAAAACAAGCCTGTATGTACCTTTTCTACTATAATTATATTAAAACTAAATATATTTTAGGCCAAAACTTTGTCTCAAAGCTGTCGTAAAAGTGTCATCAAGTAAACAAATTCACAACCATTTCATCTAATATCTTTCTGTATGAGAGCTTTAAGAGGCATGAAATTCTTCAGACGTCTGGTTCCTATCACCACCACTGTGGACAATTCAGACTCAGACGTTTCTCCTCTACAGTTACTCTTTTAAAGATATGAGGTTTTGTTACAGTATTCAGTATGTCATTCATTTAAAGCATTTAACCTGAATATGTTTTGTGTTTTGTGTGCTTAAAGGGGCGTCATCTTCATTGGTAACAAGAGTTATGCTCTCGAGCCCGTTTCGCAGTCCTCAAACAATGAGCACCTCCTGTTTCCACTGGACGACAGCCAGTCTGAGCCGTTTGTGTGTGGAGTGGCTGATGCTCACGGTGAAGACGATGCTCCAGAAGTGGCCTTGTCCATGACCTCTTTTTTACGGGTCAGAAAAGTTTTATCTTTATTATCAAGTTATTGGAAATTTGCTTTGCGGTTACCGGCTCATCCAACCCTTAACCCTTTTATCTTTATTGACAGAGAAAACGAAACTTGCCTCTGACCCGATATGTGGAGCTGGTGTTGGTGGTGGACAATCAAAGGGTGAGTATCAAACATACACTCAGTGCTTTATTAGTTTCCAGGTTTGTCGTTTATGGACTTCTTATCTCTTTGTTTGCTTTACTGTTACAGTTCACCTTTAAGAAGGGTAACACCACTGCGGTGAGGGAAGAGATGGTACAGCTGGCCAATCTACTGGACACAGTAAGCTCTATGTGACACATCCACTATGACCACCTCCTTGTTTCTACGCTCATTGTCCATTTTATCAGCTCCACTTACTATATGTGGTTGTGGTGGTGATGTGTTAGTGTGTGTTGTGCTGGTCTGAATGGATCAGACACAGCAGTGCTGCTGGAGCTTTTAAACACCTCAGTGTCACTGCTGGATTGAGAATAGTCCACCAACCAAAAATATCCAGCCAGCAGAGTCCTGTGGGCAGCATCCTGTGACCACTGATGAAGGACTAGAGGATGACCATCACAAACTGTGCAGCAGCAGATGAGCTATCGTCTCTGACTTCACATCTACAAGGTGGAACGACAAGGTAGGAGTGTCTAATAGAGTGGACAGTGAGTGGACACAGTGTTTAAAAGCTCCAGCAGCACTCAGACCAGCACAACACACACTAACACCACCACCACGTCAGTGTTACTGCAGTGCTGAGAATGATCCACCACCCAAATAGTACCTGCTCTGTGAGGGTCCATGGGGGTCCTGACCACTGAAGAACAGGGTAAAAGGGGGCTAACAAAGTGTGCAGAGAAACAGATGGACTACAGTCTGTAACTGTAGAACTACAAAGTGCACCTATATAGTAAGTAGAGCTGATAAAATGGACAATGAGTGTAGAAACAAGGAGGTGGTCATAATGTTATGCCTGATCGGTGTATATTGCAGTGTAAGTCAGAAACCACTCATCATATGTTTAATTTCCATTCAAAACAGGTATTAAGTGCAAGTTATTCATATTCAGGAGGTATTGCTACATTTATCAGCTCGTCTCTACCCAATTCATCATTGGTCAGTGTCTGACCACAGGACTGCTGTTGTCCAGATATTATTTGGGTGGTGGTCCTTCCTCAGCACAGCAGTAACACTGACATGGTAATGCATGTGGTGGTCAGTGTCACTGCTAGATTGAGAGTGGACCACCTCCTGAAACTATCCAGCGAAGAGAGACTCTTTGGAGAACGAAGAGTGACTAACAAACTGTCCATCAACAGTTGGGCTACAGTCCCAACACACCAGCAAGGTGGAGCTGCATGATAAAGTAATAAACTAATAAAGTGGACGGTGATAAACTAATGGATTCCCTGTATTCATTCTAGTACTTCCAGCAGCTGAACATCCGGATAATCCTGGTGGGTCTGGAGATTTTTGAGACACAGAACCCGTTTGATGTGGAGGGAACCGCAGGAGATGTTCTTGGAAGGTTTGTTGACTGGAGGAAGACACAACTAGTGCCACGCGTCAGGAACGACATGGCCCAGCTCATCGTGTACGTATGAAGACCCTAGGGTAGATCGTAATAATGTCCAGTGTCTCCTAGATATTTGAAGCAAGCAAACACATTTCCCCCCCTTACCCAAATGTTGTCGGTCAGCCAAGTCATGTTTGGTGTCTGAAGTTTGCCTCGTTAGTTTTGCATTGGAGCTACAAGTAATGGAGGCTTATAGCCAGCAGTTAGCATTGTGCTACTGCATGACCTCACACATGCCTCACACTGCATGGAGTCGTTAGGTAATATCAAATAGGCTTGCTTATGTGGTTTCTGGTGCTATTGTACAACATCCTGTTATCTATAAATGGTCAACAGTGTTGAAAACGACATGATCAAGTCTATTAGAGATTACTTAACAAATCAGCACTGTTATGATTGTGGCAGTTAGCCAATTTGCATACGCTTTCACTTCTTGTTAGCTACATTAGCCTCGTAGCTTCAGAGCAAAACAAAAGAAGCAAACTTCAGACACCAAACACGTCTCGGCCAAGGAAAGACGGAAAACTGTGTACAGTTTGATTGAAGACTGATCTGATGTCTGTTGAAGTCCAGAGAGGCCATAAGGTAGTTAGAATTTTCTGGATTGTTATCTTGAGATAACAAATTAATTATCTTGTTGTTATCCTGATATAGCAAGGTCATTATCTTGTGATCTCAAGATAACAAAGTTGTTATCCTGAGATAAGTTAATTTTCTTGTTACATTAACTTAACAAAGCTGTTATCCTGAAATAACGAGTTCGTTATCCTGTTACCTCGAGATAAGAAAAGTTGTCATCTTGAGAAAACAAGTTAAATAACTAACACAATCCAGAAAATTATAGCAACAGCTCTTGGCCTCTCTACGGATTATTTTGTTACCTTGGGATAACAAAGGTTGTTATCCCGAGACAACAAGTTAATTATCTTGTGATATCAGGATAACAAAGTTGATATCCTGAGATGGCAAGTTGATTATCTTGTGATCTCAAGTTAATTTTCGTGTTACAATTTAACAAAGCTGTTATCCTGAAATAACAATAACAGTTATGTAGTTATTTTGTTATCTCGAATATTCCAGACCATGAGGTCTCAAATGGGTCTCCTCCAAACCGAGTCTGACTTTGAGTTTGAGATGAGGCTATTTGGTCTTGGGAACGCCACAGAGGCATAATTCACTAGATAGCAGCCACCTCTCATGTTGATATGAGCCCTGTGAAACTCTACATGTCGTCTTACTGCATCCGTCATCTCACCCTTGGCTCCATGTCTTGTTTGTTTTGCAGGGGTCGTACAGGAGCATACAGTGGCGGTGTCCTGGGCATGGCCTTTGTGGGAACGGTCTGCTCAGCGAACACTGGTGGAGGAATCAGCGTGGTCAGTCTTAATCATCCTTTGACACTTTGCACCATATGGTGTGGCTCGGTAGTCAGCTACTGACAGCATCATTCAGGCAGTAAACAGAGCCTGTCTTTTATTACTGTGTGCTGAAAGTCAGCCCAGCTGACTGATTTGGGCAGCGAAAAAAAGAGGTTCAAAATCAATGGGATTATGAGTAGATTTTGTTTGATGAGCTTAACACCCATTTTACGCTGCTTCAATCTTTTAGTTATCCCAAGCAATGAAGGCCCCATATTCTATGTCTTTAATTTGTTCCTCTTAAAGTCCACTTACAACATTTGTGTGTCCATATTTACCAAAAACAGCCATTATTTATTTTTACATGACCATTTCTAGACATGATTCTGTTAATGGTATATATTTTAGTGAGTATGTGAGCACAGAATAATAGAGTGTATCCATGTCAGTAGGTTAAGCTAACTAGCAAGCAGCTTGGACACTTTAGAGTGGCATTAAATGACTAGCTAGACAACAAAAACGCTAATCATGGTTATTATAATGGTCCCACGTGTCTTTTAAGTAGGCGGAAAACAAACTAGAACCATAGATTTCTTGTTTTTTGTTTATGACAGTGGACAAACACAAGGCGCCTTGTGTTTTGACTCACTTATTTTATTGTCACTGTTTAAAAAGCTGACCAGGCACAGAAAACAACGGTTCAGTTCAGACTGAAATCCTTCTGAAAACATCAGAAAAACTTCTTTTGTTGCTGCAATGATCCATTTACTTACCGACAGCCATGAACAGCACAACATTTAATGGTTTTCCCACATTTTCTGCTCATATAACAACACTAGATATGTTCATGGTTGTGATGTCACAAGCATAAGGGCTTCGAAATGGACTGCTTTTGCTGCTCAGTCAGTATATAGACTGTACAGGCTGGGGAGGGAGTTTTGAAACGTTAAGTGTTCACATAGTACAACTCTTTTCTTTCAAAAACGAAAGAAAAATTTGGTGTATGATGATAAAGGCCCTTGATGTTTCAATATTTTACTCAGATTCTTGTATGTTGAGACTAGTAACGACAAAAAGAAAGGAATAAATGTCAGCAGAGCGCATGAAAATGTTTTCAGACTGTGGCCTGGTCTCTTTGCAGTATGGCAACAACGCGCTGCAGTACTTTTCCACTGTGCTGGCTCATGAGATGGGCCACAATCTGGGCATGAACCACGACGACTCGCGTTGCCAGTGCAAAGGTGGCAGCTGCATCATGGCCTCCAGTGCCAGGTCAGTACCTCTGGGCTTTCTTGTATAAATATCAGATGAGGGCAGTAATTTCACGTTCACTCAGTTGATCTTAAGTACAAATTTAATGTTATTGTTGTGTTAAAATTGCTTTGGCAATGCAATGCAAACCCCTCTCACTTTGGAGCTTTAGCATTTTATTTTACACTAAAAAGACACTGAATGGAGCCTAACAAACTTCAGCTCCTATACTGATACATGCTGGAGGTACTATAAAGTTCCACTGTGGTTCTATAAGGAAGTCAAGATTTGTGTTTTTGGACCGTATAGTAGTTTTTTTGTTTTGTTTTGTTTTTTTTTGTTTTTTTTTACTGAAGTTAATCATTGAGTGCATTTACATGCACTTAATAATCTGATAATGGGCAACTTCTGACCCAATGAGTCAGACAGTAATCAGATTTCTGCTTTGCAACCAGCCAATAAACTCACAGAAGATGATGTGACGTAAACATAATGTAAAACTCAAACTTCATGCTGCAACTTTTTTTTAAAAACATTGCGCCACTTTACCTGAAACTATGAACATTCATCATCTAAAGATGAAGAAAATTTAAACCCTTCATTTTGTCAAGCATGTAGTTGGTCTCAGCATTGCTCCAAAAGTGTTCTGCTGTGTCTCGTGGCAACACTGCTTGCTTATTTCTGGTACGGCCGTCTGGTTTCGCACATGCTCAGACTGAGTAATCCGAAAGAAATCAGAGTAAGAGTTTACATGCACTGAGAAATCTGATTACTGAGCTAAACTCTAGCCTCTTTATTGGGTTTCTTAATCGGATCTCTAGACCTTACTCTGCACTAAGAAATCGGAGTATGCTGTGAATATGACCTTTTGAACAATAATGTAACTGCAGAAATCTGATTATGATCGGATATAATATCTTATTAAAATAAATTGTTGAACGTTCTATTGTGTCACTACCAAAGCAACATAACACCACCAAAACTTTACCAAACGTTTCAGTAGTGACTGTTTTGGTAATGACAATTTTAGTTCATTTTGAGCAAAACTCAAAAATGCTAGCCAGTACGTGACTAGCAAACACAGCTTTGAACAGTACTACATATCATATTTTTATTGCTTAACGTGAAACTGTGGGACAGTTTTTATATTAAAAAATTAAACTCATCATAAATCTAAATCTCTCAACTTAATTCAAAAAAATCTTTTAAACACGTAAAAAATTTTTTGTTATTTTTGCAAGAGTAAATGTAGAGGTTAGAGTTTGGGACAGACACCTCCCAATACAAAGCACCCTATAAATGATGATATTGTATATCGCTGTTGTCTGAAGAAAACCTTGTTTCCCCAAAATGACAACTTTACAGGAGAAGGAAAAAACATACGTTACTTTTAATGAAAGTCAATGGAACCAGACGTCTTTCTAAGTAATTTCAAGTCATTTCTTTTGGTCCGTTCATCATGAAATTCACCCACAATATATATGACCACGGGTGCTTTCAATTCATGTCAAAAACTGAAAAACATCAAAAATGGAGATACAAGGTTTTCTTCAGACATGACATATTTAGTTAATTTGTATATATTACTATCTCAGTTAATGCCTTGGGTTTAAATAGATCATAACATAATCCTTGTAAATATCTATGGTCTGAGTACTTATTGTTTTTCTTAAACCGTTTTTCTACTGTGGGACCCTAGTAAAAACTAATTTGGCAGAATGAACCATATCAGATATTGACCACTAGTGATTTGATCAGCAAAAATATTACAGATAATGCAGAAATAATAAGCAACGTTTTTGGCCGCAGTGTTGCTGGAATTCAAACTTCTCTTTAAATTCTTTACTTTCCCCCATTTTGACGTTACACTATAAAGCACTTACAGTTGCATTTTGCATGTATGATACATTCAATATAAATAAAGTTCTTTATTATTATTGTTATTACCATTAAAGTTCTTACTCATTTTTTATTCTTGTTTCCCATCATGTGTGTTTGTAGTGGATCCACTCTGTTCAGTACATGCAGTGGGAGTGATTTTGAGCAGCTGATTCTGCGTGGAGGAGGAGTTTGTCTGAGGAACCAGCCGTCCCAGGACAGCATCATCACCGTGCCTGCCTGCGGAAATGGTGTACAGGAGCAGGGGGAGGAATGTGACTGCGGTCCACCACAGGTCAGACACATTCCACCACACACAGTTAGCCATACAATGCTGTTCTGGAATTACTTCTCATTAGGAGTGTATCTCTGACCTCTCTTGAGGTCAGTCTGATTCTGATTGTACAGGAAAACTTGAATCTTGAAAGATGTGCAGTTTTTAAAATATCATTATAATGTTGTAGCAGCACCTTCAATCAGTGCATCAACGCCTTTTATTTATTATTAGCTTTAGATTTGTAGCTTCAGATTAACCTCAGATTGTTAGCCTCAGATCATCCCCAGATCATCTGCAGATTGTTGGCTTCAGATTATCTTCAGACTGTTAGCTTCAGATTCTAAACTTCAGATTATAAGTGTTAGATTGTTAGCTTCAGATTTTAGCTTCAGATCATCCCCAGATTATTATCTTCAGATTTTAGCTTCAGATTATTATCTTCAGATTGTTAACTTCAGATTATTAGCTTTAGATTGTTAGTTTCAGATTCTTAACTTCAGATTATTATCATTAGATTGGTAGCTTCAGATTATTAGTTTCAGATCATCCCCAGATTATTATCTTCAGATTTTAGCTTCAGATTATTATCTTCAGATTATTATCTTCAGATTGTTAACTTCAGATTATTATCTTTAGATTGTTAGTTTCAGATTCTTAACTTCAGATTATTATCATTAGATTGGTAGCTTCAGATTATTAGTTTCAGATCATCCCCAGATTATTATCTTCAGATTTTAGCTTCAGATTATTATCTTCAGATTATTAGTTTCAGATCATCCCCAGATTATTATTTTCAGATTTTAGCTTCAGATTATTATCTTCAGATTATTAGCTTTAGAAGATTAGTTTCAGATTGTTAGCTTCAGATTCTAAACTTCAGATTGTTATCATTAGATTGGTAGCTTCAGATGATTAGTTTCAAATCATCCCCAGATTATTATATTATATTATTAGATTGTAAACTTTAGATTATTTTCACATCGTTAGTTTCAGATAGTTGATAGTAAAAGCAGACATAAATTGTGAATACTGGCTTGGGGCTAAAACTCTTAACTTTAGCAACTGAAGAGATGAAAGATTTTAAAAGAGTGTTTTGCCTTTATTTCTGATTTGGTGAGTGTGCTCTGTTCCAGAGTTGTACAAGTAAATGTTGTGACGCAGCTACATGCAAACTCACAAAGGGCTCAACCTGCGCTGCTGGAAGCTGCTGCAAAGACTGTCAGGTGAGGAGACACACACACGCACACACAACACACACACAACGCACACACACACACAGCAGTGGCAGCTGGTGGTCAATTTTGGGTCTTGTGATAGACAAAATGTGAGAAGTGGGTAAGAGGGACTGGAGCCTGTAACAGTTTTGCAGTTGTTTATTTATTAATAAATAATAAATTGGATGCACAAAAAACAACCAGGCTGACATACATATCTAAGAAGAAAGAAAATATGAAATACAGGCCAATTCTCTCCTCAAAATCTCTCCTCCAGCTCTCTGTGTCTGGGACGCCCTGCAGACAGTCGGTAAACGAGTGTGACCTGCCCGAGTTCTGCACTGGAGACACCGGTTTCTGCCCTCCGGACACCTACCTGATGGACGGCCTTTCCTGCCAGGGCAACACAGCCTACTGCTACGAGGGCCGCTGCCAGACGCTGGACTACCAGTGCCAACAGCTCTTCGGCTCAAGTACGGCTCTGTCCTAAGTTTCTTAAGAGAGTCAAGTAGCATAACTGCCGTCATGTTAGGTTTGGCAGACCAGTCCAGCTCAGCTTCCAAAGGAAATTATACAAGCAGAAACAGCGTCTTCTTAAGCTACATTCAAGCTACGCAAGCCACAAACCGGCGTCCTGAAATGACCTGCAGACGCGCATCCTACTCATTAACATCATCAGCAAACAAACTAACGAGCAGAACGAGCTTCGCTGAGAAGATAATTAACTCTGATCACCTCTCAGCTTCATTATTAGATCAAGACTAAGGTGAAAAAGGTGAGATGAGCTGCTTTTCCACTGTTTACAGACTTTAACTTCTGTTTGGCGCTGCTGCCATGGTAACACTGAATGATGGCGCACGTGCAGTGGGAACAAAGCACCTGAATTCCGATCTGAGCATCACATTAAGGTCGCATGGCCACAAATCAGATACATATCCGATCTAGGACCATGTATGAAAATAGCTGAGGTCAGATTTGTGTGTCCACACAGCTCTGAAAACATCAGATCTGAGTCACATTAGGACAAAAACAAGGATTTGTAGCACTTCAACCTGGTAATGTGAACGTAGCCTTAGAGCTCCCAAAGTCAGTCTACAGCAGATTAGCTCCGCCCACCCATTCACTCTGAAGTTACAAGGAGTGTTTCAGCTTAAACTGATTTTTGAATGAGACACAGTACTTACTGGGCAATCAGGGGAAAAAATAAAATACAAGAAAAATGTGGGATTTGGCCCTTCAATTGTACCTTACATCAGGGGTGTCGAACTCAACCACCAAAAGGGCCATATTAAAAAATCTCAACTAATTTGTGGGCCAGCTGTGTTTTTATTTTATTTTCACTTAAGATTTTGACACCAACTGGCCATTGTTTGTTCGAAATATGCCAAAACTACAACAGAAAAAAAGGCACCGAATACTTGAACGATTCAAAAATAAATGAATTAATAAATGAATAAAAACAAATTGTTTTATATAAAATAATAGACTACATTATCTGCAGATGTCCCCAGTGTACAGTAGGTTTTTAAAAACTGCCCATTTGCTTGAACTAGACACCAGGGCCCATATAACAAAAACTTCCTCTCTTTTCGTCTTACCTTATGTGCACAGCTGAAACGTAAACACATAATCAAGCTAGTTAGCTAGGCAGCTAACGTTAGCTACTGTTACTGTTGTAAAAAAGGTCAAACAAACTGAAGTGCGATGAACTGTAAGTTAAGAATATTGTGACAGCGCTTTGTGCTGTTTATCAGAGCGTCGCCGCTCCACAGTTTCAGTTTCAGTTTCCTAAATGATTTAGTTGACCACGCTAATGTTATACCTCCTAATAAACAGACACGTTCAGTTCTGTCTCCTCATTATTCACAAACATCACTGTAAGATTTTATCTCATAAGTTTTCATCAACATTAACACACGAAGGTAATAAGAGGGGACGGTGGAGATCGTGTCTGCGGCGTCTGGAGTTTTAAAATGCTTTTTTTACTTTGACTTTTAGTCAAAGTACAGTTTTCAGCGTAGATAAATGTATCGTCATTATACTAGTTATAGTGAACTATGCTGCCTGTCACTGCATAAAACAATAAAAACAGACAGTTAAAACAGAAGTTAAAACAGGTCTGGGGTTTATCTTAAAGTTAGGACAGAATTTAGGAAATTTAGTCTAGTTAGGATGTTTGTATAATACTGTTTTCCTATCTGGAGTTAATGATAAGATTTTGAACTTGATAACTGTTGTTCTGTAATAGTTTCTGTCCTAACTGAAGTTTTCATGGTGACTATAAGATTTCAGACTCAAGATGTTTCTGTAATACGGCCCCTTTTTGTGGCGCTGTCCCAAAGATGGTTGTTGGTGAAGGGGGTGGGAGCACACTTTACATTGCAGTGCATGCAGGGATCTGTAGTGCAGCTCATGGTGAAATGGGCTAATATTAATAGAAAGTTAAAATGATTTTGCAGGCCGAAGAGGATTGTGGCACAGGCCTGACTTGGCCAGCAGGCCTTGTGTTTGACAAATGGGGCTTACGTTATTCAGTGTTGTCTACACAAGTTTTAAATCCAGAAATATAACCTACAAATGCAGTCCGGCATGCTACATTCAGCATTGCATGTCAAAATTTCTTCACCACTGGCTCTAAATAAACACATAAAAGAGCAAATTTTGGAAAGAAGGGTGAGAACAAAATAAGAATTTCTGAACCAATCCAACACTTTCTGAAGGCAGAGCTCAAAGTAGATGGCGATATTGTACTTGTCAACACTGTCGGACAAACAACAAGCCTGTTGTTAGCTTATAGATGCAATGTAATGTAGCATGGAGGTTACACAGAAGAAGCATAGACAACAAGTTCATACGTTCCCATAACACAGATTTCTTTAAACCACACTTGGCAAACAAGTACAAGGAGGGAAATCGCTCTCTGCCTCAGCTCACGTCTCTTTCTCTCCTTTTCCTCTCCCTCTGCACACATCAGCACACACGCACACCTAGCCCAGGGGTGGTTCTTAGCCCTGCCCACCACGGTAAGAGTCATAGTAAAATGACATGCAAAAACATTTCTTTAACACCCTGTATTTCCTTCAAACTAAGTATAACCCAGGCGTGCTCTGAAGCCACAGTAAGTTGGCATGGCTGAGCTGAAAAGGCCCCTAAAAACTTCACTTAAGCATATAGATGCCGGTCATTTGTACAGAGAACATGCAGTAACATAAACATTATCTCTTAGAAGGGAAAACTGTCATGTTGGGTAATGATAACGTGTTGCTAGCTACCTTGTTCTGCTTGTGTTATCGACTGTACTGTGAACAATAAGGGAGCACAGGCTAGAGCAGAGGTATTTAATTAAAATTCAGTAGGAACTATTTAGAGAAAAAAAAATCCTCAAGGAAGGACCAGAACATCGTAATATCTATCTTGGATTATGATTCAGTGCCATAAACTGTCGATATTTATGTGATATTTACAGTGCATGCGATTGGTCTGTGAGTTTCCTGGGCTGCTAAATTGGTACTGTAAAGGCTAGAACAGTTATGCAGGTAAAAACAGAAACACGCCGTCAAAATTAAATAGTTCGTAATAGTTTATCGATTATAGGTCCAGTGTGATACGGACCCAGACCGCAGTCCACTTATTAGTGACCTCTGGACTAGAGGAATTTGGAGGTTTAACAAGATATACCCAGATGTGTATTCTTAGTAAAGACTAGCTTTCTAACTGCTAGGTTTGCTGCTTGGCTAAGCACTGCTGCACACACCAGTCAGACCACTGTTGCCAACCATGCTAGTTATCTACACTTTTTTTGCTATAACTCAGTATACAGCATTGTGCTGTATGAATGTTATCAATATGATATGCATTTGCATCCCTGACTTGGTCTGTATTTGAAGCCTGTAATGTGACAAATGTGATGGCATAATAAACCAGTGTGGCTCTAAGCCTGACATGTCACCATTGATATTATAGGCAGATTTTTGCTTTAAAAAAGAATATATATATATATATATATATATATATATATATAGGATATATTGGAGAGGTATGTATTTATTGCATTGTAGAACATATTCATTTATAATCCACTGTTTTGTACTTTTTTGTGCAGCTACTCATTTGCTCCTTTTTCTGTTTTCCTCAATCTGTTTATTATAAAGAGGCAACGAAAGCTGACGATAAGTGCTTCAGTTACGTGAACACGCAGGGCACCAGGTTTGGGAATTGTGGGTATTCCGGCTCCAGTCTGGTCCCGTGCTCGGTGGCGTAAGTTTTGTTTTTATTCAGCTACAGCAAACAAATGAATAACAACTGAACAGGTTACAAAATGGAGTCAGATTTGCTTTCTGTGAATCTCAGGACAAATTCAACCAATTAATAAAAGGTATTGATTTTATTATGAATATGAACTTTATTATTTATTATTATAAAACTTTGTCTTAATGTCAGTTTTCCAACTGTATTTGCAATTCTGGATCATTACTGTACTTTCTTCACTACGGCAATCTAATGACAATTATCTGAGTTGTTTACGTCAGAATAACAGAATATAAACTGGGTGCGTTTTCATCGTTCTCATCCAGTGGGTTGAGGCATGTTAAAGACACTTACTGGGTCTCACAAAAACAATAATGGGCAATTGCACTGTCTTTAGCTTAGCAGCAGTTTAGGCTCCGTTGAACACAGAATTGGTTAAACCGGTAATTTCAGGGGTTTAACAGGCAGCTGTGTGTTAAATTAAGCCTGACTGCTCTGTTGTTCTAGTTTCCCTTTTAAGTCAGTAATATGGAGAGTCTAAACAGAGGCCATCTTTAGCTTCTCTGAACAATACATTCTGAAAAAGCCTAATCAAGACTGTGACACTAGTTGAGTGTGTAGTTGTACCCAGATGTGTATTCTTAGTACGAGGCCCCACAAGACTAGTTTGCTAACTGCTAGGTTTGCTTCTTGGCTAAGCACTGCTGCACACACCAGTCAGACCACTGCCGCCAACCACACTACTTATCTACACTTCTTTTGCTATAACTCAGTATACATCGTTGTACTCTATGAACGTTATCAATATGATAAGGATGTGTATCCCAGTGCTCTTTGGCTACTCTTACTTGGTTTATCTTTAGCTTCTCTGAACAACACATTCTGAAAAAGCCTAACCAAGACTGGAACGATTTACACCTCCTCTAGTTTAGTGTGTGTTTAATTAAGCCTTAAATTAAGACATGCTGTGAAGTTTTCAAAACAAATGCCGGTAGGTATCTGGGTTTAGACAGACTATTAAAATATCTGAGCTGGAATGCGCTTCACTTACAATAATCTTGCCTTAAACCTCAGTAAAACCATTTAACAGATTTAAAGTAAACCTCAGTTAAATGTGATGTACAGCACCATCTAGTGGCAGATGTGTGATTTTTCAATGATGCCGCAATTGGGTCAGGTGCACTTTAAACAGCTGCTTCCAGTGACACAGCAATGAAGTTTAAGAACCCACGTGACTCATTCAGTTTTACACTTGGGTTAAACTGTAAACCACAGCTAAGCTAATGACAGTGCAGTTGCCTCCAAAGGTTCCAACTTCTGTCTGATGTTTTGTCTCCATTTGCGAGCTACCAACTATCAACAGCTAGGAGGCAAGACAGCTAATCAGCCTATTTGGACACTTTAAGCTGATAGATTTCAGTTGTCCATTTAAAAAAAAAAGACCAATTGTTAATCGCAATTACTTATATACCAGTTAATCGTCATGATCGTGACAGGCCTACACCCATATATTGGTAAGATGCTCCATGTTAAATTGATCTCATCATTAACATTACTAGACCAATGGGTCATGTGACCACTCTATCTTATGTAAATGTTTCTGAAAATCTGGTAGTGAAATCCATTTTGAGATACTTTTATTCTTTTAGAAGTTATAACCTGATCAAAAGCATTAAACAGGACCAGACAATGATCTCAAAAAGCCAATGCACTGCTCAAACGAAGGGCCGAGCAGCTGTAATCTTATTTGGAATTTGTCAGCTCATAGGTTCTAGATTATAGCACCATCTTTCAGACGTTTAACTTGCATCTAAACTCTCTCCAGCAACTCTATGTGTGGAAAGATCCAGTGCACAAACTTTGACTCCAACTACCCACCACCTGGAGCGGTTATCAGCGTAGAGACCATAGAGGGGAGCATCTCCTGCAGGAACGCCGACTTCAACCTGGGCTCAGATGTCCTGGACCCAGCCTACGTCAAAATGGGGACCGTGTGCGCACCTGGGAAAGTGAGTATGTGTGAGCTACGGTGACTTCAAAGCTGTCCGACATGACTCAGGCCTTTTAAGAGCTGAATTGCATATTGTAGCTGTTTAAATAACTGAGTCCAGCTTTTCCTATAAAGCAATAACAAATGCATCATTTATTTATTTATTTATTTATTATGCTGTCTATTATCATGTCCTGATGCATTATTTGATTACTTGGTCTTGGGACAGATCAAGACAGTGGAATCCGTATTGTGTTTAATTCCTCATTGAGGTTACAGAATAACAGAGCTGTTGATCCTGACGTTCTCTGTCCTCAGGTGTGTGCAGACTTCAAGTGTGTGAATTCATCTGTTTTGACCCAAACACAAAACTGTGATGCTCTGAATGACTGCCATGGTAATGGGGTGAGTAACACAGTGCCTGGTTAACACTGTTAAAGCTTACAGTACTTCCCCCCATGTGCTGGCTTTGTATTATGACTGTATTTCTGTGTAACATGAGCTTGGTCCCCTACAGGTGTGTAACGACAAGGGCCACTGCCATTGTAACAACGGCTGGGCACCCCCCAACTGCAATAAAGGAGGGAGAGGAGGCAGTGTGGACAGTGGACCTGCTGAAATTGGTATGTGCACTCAGACCAGGCCCGAATCATCATGTTATAGGCCCCTAGACGCAAATGTTTAAGGGGCCCATGACTGGCTACCTGTTTTTTGGCAGTCAGCAAAATTTTATGGTATCATGCCCACACAACAGCTTCTCTGGGTCTGCACAGGTCAGACACTTTAGGCCATTATATACCTAACCTAATTAAGTCTGGTTTTGAATGAATTAAAAATATTTTTGGCTTATATAACACACTCTCAAAGCAGGTGATCTAGTATGTGTCTGCCCCACCTATAGTCCTTGTATATTCCCTCCCCAGACTACTCCCTGAGGAATGGCCTGTTGATCTTCTTCCTGTTGGTGGTGCCTATCTTGGTGGCACTGGTTCTCGCTTTCCTCTACGTGTTCAGGCGGGACATGCTGGACAGGTGTCTGAAGGGCCGCCGCTCCAAACGGCAAAGGTAAAACTCTGAGGGTTTTTAGTTGTAGATTTTAATTGTAATTTAAATAGTGATGTCAAAGGTTGGTGTGAAATGTCTCATCTTCTAGATCTTTCCTCTGTACAGTATCAGTGCCTCTGTTTAATGTTTCTTGGAAACGTATCCCAACCCCACTATCCGGTGTGGCACAGAGTATGATGGCTTCCCCTTTTGAATCTTGGTTCCTCTCGGTGGTTCTTGCTCACATTCTTACAGAGTCCTTCCTTCTGGGTTTTGGTTCCTTTCAGAGGTTCTTGCTCATACTGTTAGGGAGTTTCTCCTCTTGGGCCTTGTTCCTCGCAGTGCTTCTTTCTCAAATTCTTATGGAGTCTTTCCTTTTGAGTCTTGGTTCCACTCAGGGGTTCCTCCCCACATTCTTTCGGAGTGTTTCCTTTTGAGTCTTGGTTCCTTTTATGGGTTCTTCCTCATGTTCTAAGGGGGTATCTCCCCTTGAGTTTTGGTTCATCTCAGTTGTTCTTCCTCACATTCTTATGGAGTCTTTCCTTTTGAGTCTTGCTTCCACTCAGGGGTTCCTCCTCATCCTCTTAGGGAGTTTCTCCTCTTGAGTTTTGGTTCCTCTCAGTGATTCTTCCTCACATTCTTCAAGTCTTTCTTTTTGAATCTTGGTTCCACTCAAGGGTTCTTCCTTATGCTCTTAAGGAGTTTCTCCTCTTGAGCTTCAGTTCCTCTCAACTGTTCTTCCTCACATTCTTAAGGAGTCTTTCATTTTGAATCCTGGTTCCTTTCAGGGGTTCTTCCTCATGCTCTTAGGGAGTTTCTCCTCTTGAGTTTTTGTTCTTATCAGTGGTTCTTTCTCACGTTCTTGCAGAGTCTTTCCTTTCGAGTTTTGGTTGCTCTCAGTCATTCTTCCTCAAGTCTTTCCTTTTGAATCTTGATTCCTCTTTGTGGTTCCCATTCGTGCTCTTAAGGAGTTTTTCTTGACAGTGTCTTGCCGTCCCTCATTAGGAGTCTTGACCTGTGTAACGAGGCAGAATAACTCAGATGCTCGCGGTTAAAAAAAAAAAAGAGTGAGGCTTTAATGTTAGAGTCGTAATCCAAAATCGTGGTCCAAAGGTCAAATCCAGCAAAGGCAAGCAACACAAAAAGACAAACATAAGGCGAACAAAGTCCAAAGGGCAAAGGCAAAAGGGCAAAAGTCAAAAACAGCAAACAGAGTCAAAAACCAGAAAATCACAGTAGACAGAAGAATATAACACTCAGTAGCTCTTGGAAAAGGAAGCAATACCTCGCAACAAACTAGACTAAAAGCCCAGGCTTTATACTAAACTAACTATGTCAGAACAGGTGTAACCAGTTAATACTCAGGAGACAGAGAGCGGTGATTGGAGCAAGATGGAGGACTGAGAACCATGTGATCCCCCTGGGGATTCTGGGAATTGGAGTCCCTAGAGGCCTCTCAGCCTGAGGGACGTGTGACAACCTGCATTGCTGGACAAGCTGCTTTGCAACTTCTGTCTACTGGAGAAAGTGCCATGCAAATCAAACAGAATTGAACTGAAGAGTGATCCATTTGCCAAGCTCATTCTGACAATGTCAACACTGTTGTACTCTACAGGTCAAACGATGCTGCTAACGCTCAGAGGAATTGGCAGCCAAACAGCGGCATTCAAAGAGCCACATCTCCTCAACCTCCAAACCAAATTCCTCCCTCAAATCCGCAGGTAAATATCCAGCTGCTGTGTCTCAGACTTTCTTCTAAAGCCTTATTCACAAATGGGTAAAAAAGACATTGAATGTGCCTGAACACCTTTAAACCAACCTGTCAACATGATACTGATAAAGTTTACAAGTGCGTTAGATTCTTAGTCTTGCAGCAGCTTGTGAATGTGATGTACATAAGCTGAGATCAGGTGATGTGCTATCCTTAAACCAACCCTTGGTTTTCCATCATTAATTAACTTTCCTCTTTGCACACTTGACATTTCTAAATATATGCCTGATTTAGTCACTGAGATTAAGAGTGGTTTGATGTGCAATGGTTCATTTTGGACACTCAGTGGTGGTGATAATAACCAGGGGTTGCCATGACTACAACACAAATATAGCCATTTTATTCACTACCCAGAACCACCAGTGAACCTACACGTCTTCCGAGTTTTATATGGAATGTTGATGGTGGTGGTAAATGTGAACAAAATAAGTTTTCTTTTGGGACCATTTTGCCTTACAATGCCCTGCATGTACCTCTCCGCTCTGATTTGGATTTTAAAATATGATTAAGGACAAAACATTTATCTTAAACATCATCTTAAAGAGCATTAAACTATTCAGACGTCCGGTCCTCATCACCACCAGGGGCGGTGAAAACGTGACTTTTTATTCTCCGTCTGGTCGAACTTTCACAGGTGAGGTAAGCTGTGTTCCAATTCAGGGGCTGCATCCTTCGAAGGACACAGTCTACGAAGGCGCGTCCTTCGAAGGCTGTGTAGATAAAGGATTCTTTAACAGGTATTCTGGGACTGATTCCAAAGGCATTTGATGGTTTCCAAATGGGATCCAAAGGTGTCCCAACAGGAAACTAGTGGTGTCTGATGGTAACCATTAAGCCAATTTCCATTAGAAAGCAAACTGATAAGGTTCTAATGGTCAGCTGTTGTAACTGATGGTATAATACAGATGCACCAGTTAGAAATTATGTTGGAACATTCCTTTAACGTTCATGCGCGCATTGACCAGTGAGAGGGACGGTCTCTCTGGACCTGTGTTGGATCGAGGTCCTTGGTGTGGAGAGGAATGACATTGCCCATGATTTGGCTATTTTCTTGTACAAACTGATTGTTAACTGATTCTTTGTGCTGTCCTCTTTGCAGCCGTTTCGGCCACCGCGTCCACCCACTGCCCCTGCAACTCAAATCAGGTAATGCTGATTAGAACACCTCGTCCATCTCCTCCTCCCTCTAAACAAACCTGGCTCGACCTTAATCTGTTTTTCCTTCTTCATTGCTCTCCAACAGCATTGACAGCTGGGATGAAGCCGATGTCCAGCCTGCAGTGTCCACTTCTCAGCCGCCCAGACAAGGACCTGGAGTCCCAAAACCAATTCCACCCAAGCAGATAGACACCTGAGTGAATTCATGGAAGGACACTCATGATGTTGCACACAACCTGATGCCTTTATCTTCGACTGTGAAATGACTTGTTGTTCGCTTGTATTAAATACTCTACTGTCGTTTTTATAATATGTATTTTTGAGTAAGCATGAATTACCAGTGGTTGATTTAAAAGGTGCACAGGGTTACCAAAATTCTATGTTATGAAATTATTCTCATACCTACAGTATATATACTATCTCACTGTGTTTTGTACCTTGCTTTAGGGCAGTCTGCACATTTGGCAACTTTACTCCTCTTTTACATACTGTAAAATTACCAATGTGTAACTACACCAGTGAGTCTTATTCTGAATGTACTTGGAGTGTAAAAAACATACATGAAGTTTTAATTTATACATATTTTATAGTCTGCTTTAGCTTCTCTGTTTTAATTTAAAATAAATAAAAGAATATTTAAACTCCACTGGGCCGATAAAAAAAAAAAACATTGAGTAATTAAATCAGTTACATATCTTTGTAAATGTGAAAAAGAATATGCTGCATTTTCAAGATTTACAAGGCATTTTAACCCAACAGTTGCTCACTTTGCTGTGTTCTGATTACATTTATTTGAAATAAAATTAAGCCAGGAAACGAATGAGAAATTAACCAATTAATTCTGTATTTTTTATTATATTTTTTTTAAATATATACAATAAGAAATAATAAAACATTTGTACATTGCCTTTTAACTAAATACTTTACTTAAAACAATTAAATTGATATTTTTAACCATATATAAGATAAAAAATAAACCATTATTATGTTATATTATAGGTAACTTCTCATTATCGTCTGTGTTAAATTAAATTTAAATTGTTTTTTAAAAACAGATTTTTTAGGCTTTTCTGAAAATAAACCAATTATTATTATTTTTTTAATATACAAAACAAAAAATAAGAAAACGTTTTTTCATTACATTTTAGCTAAGTACGTCATATTCTCTACATGAAAATTAAATTTAAATTCATTTTCAAAGATAAATAAGCACTTACTAAGGCTTTTCTGAAAACTGAAAACTAGCGTTTGCTGCCCCCTGGTGGTCGGTCGAGGAAGATGACATTTTCCTCGCCAGAAGAAATCAAATTTAAAGAAACTGACATTTGGAAATACAAAAAATAGGGACTCTGAAAAAAATTCCTGAAGTTAAAAGAGATTTTAAAATATTTATTTAGACTCCAAAAAGCTGTTATTAAATGTTTCTTTGTTTATGAGAATCCGCTGTCTATGGGGAGCCAACTATGTACAAAGAACTTGTAGACAGGAGAACTACCACTCTGTAATGTCTTCCAGGCGCTCCTGAGCGAGTCCAAAATGAATGGGTTAATATGGAGCATTTCAGCAAAATCATAGTTTATAAATGCTGAAACATTTTAATATAAAATAACAATTCATGTCCTGAACACAGAACAGCATAAAACATTTTAACACTGCTGGTATATTTTTAAGAGCTTTTAAACTCAAGTTATAGTTTAAAACGGTGCCTCATGTATGTCCATGACCAACCAATCAGCACTTAGTAGCAATAATGTTAGCGTCCTGCTGCCCAAAACCTGTTTGCTGTAGAAAAAAGGAAACATACAGGTGAGTTTTCTTTGCTGTTTTAGCGAAACACATCCTTCTAAAATGAAAGGAAAGTTCTGGGCGAGTGATTAGAAACTATTCTAACCCCTCATTTTTAGCCGTTGAGCTCATTTTACTCCAATTCACTGAGGACTTGCTCGTGGGCGCCCTCTGCTGTTTTGCAGTCCTGGTTTTGATATAATGGGGGAAATAGGAAGTGGCCAGACTTCTCAAAAAACTTCTCTGCTATGTATCTCTGCAGATCAAAAACCAGTAAGTACGAGGGGATCAGAGCCGGTTTATGAGGAGTCTGACCTCTTCCTATTTCCCCCGTTATATCAAAAACATGACTGCAAAACACCAGAGGGCGCCCGTGTCCACGTTGTGTGTACACAACTAACTGCCATTAGTCTTGTTTGTATTCAATTTGACCAGCTAATTATGGTCAACAACCGACATGTTTAAGCAAACGCCAAACCTGCAGCAGAGAGCCTTCAACCACTAATGAGACATGCTGACATGCCCTGTGGAGCTTGTTCTGCCCATTTGGAGCTGTACTGCACATCACAGTTGCCAAGTCCACTTATTACAGGCAATTTTGGGCTTATTTTTTTTGTAAAGTCACTTTCTAACACTGCTAGTTGTGGGCTGTGTTTTTTTTGGACTTGTTTCTGAAGTGTAGTTGCTTACTTGGGCTCCCTGATCCTGTCTAATATCTGTCCAATAAAGCCAAACTGCTAGTTTGTCCTGTTGCACAATCCATCCACAGCCCTGTGCTCTCCGCCCCCATACAAACCATCGTGCCAATAGTGGTCCATCAGTGAAGAAATGGGCAAAATATGGAAAAAATACAGCAAAGAGTGGGAAACATGTGCACACCATTCAGATCTTGTTCAAAATGCCAGCACTGATAAACATAAAGGAAGTGCAGCACTGTTCTCATCAATGAGGCTTTTTCCCATGCATTAATTGAGATAGGCAGTCAAAGGCCCACTAGGCTATGTGTAGTTTTTTTTATCATATCTTTTTTGCCTTCACTGATTTAATTACGTGGCCAGTTCGTCATATCTTTATCTTCTTTTTCATTGTTTTATTTATTCATTCATTTTTCACATTTTTTTGTTGGCCATTTGATTTTGTTTGAGTTGAAAAGAAAAATGTAAATGTTTTGAAATGGTTACTTACGCATATATTTATGTATCACATATAATGATATCCTTACAGGAGAAGGAAAAACCCTTCTTTACTTTTAATGTAAGTCAATAGAACCTTTTACCCTGTTCTTCAGTGGTCAGGACCCCCACGGACCCTCACAGAGCAGGTACTATTTTGGTGGTGTATCATTCTCAGCACTGCAGTAACACTGATGTGGTGGCAGTATGTTAGTGTGTGTTGTGCTGGTACGAGTGGATCAGACGCAGCAGTGCTGCTGGAGTTTTTAAACACTGTGTCCAATCACTGTCCACTCTATTAGACACTCCTACTTTGTCAGTCCACCTTGTAGATGTAAAGTCGATAGAGACGATAGCTCATCTGCTGCTGCACAGTTTGTGTTGGTCATCCTCTGGTCCTTCATCAGTGGTCACAGGATGTTGCCCACAGGACGCTGTTGGCTGGATATTTTTGGTTGGTGGACTATTCTCAGTCCAGCAGTGACACTGAGGTGTTTAAAAACTCCAGCAGCACTGCTGTGTCTGATCCACTCGCACCAGCACAACACACACTAACATACTACCACGTCAGTATTACTGCAGTGCTGAGAATGATCCACCACCCAAATAGTACCTGCTCTGTGAGGGTCCATGGGGGTCCTGACCACTGAAGAACAGGGTAAAAGGGGGCTAACAAAGAGCTGATAAAATGGACAATGAGCGTAGAAACAAGGAGGTGGTCATAATGTTATGTTATGCCTGATCGGTGTGTATACATATATACACACACTTAGGGGTCTATATAGAACCATATACCACACGTTCTCCATCAATCTGAAGAACCCTTTAATCATGCAAAGGAAGAACCATATCTTTACTAAAGAACTGTTGAACAACCATCTTTGTTTATATATCATAGTATCTTAAGTGGCCTCTCTGTCACACATTGGGCTCCATAGACCTGGCTGCTTGTTTCTCTCGCGAGATCTGGCAACACTGTACCAGTCTCGCAGGATCAGTGTCAGTATTAGTGTAGTGGCAGCGCGTTTTGTGGGGAGGAGAATGATGATGTCGGAGCAGGACAGCGCGAAGGGCCGAAACCGCGGCGGAGTGCAGCGAGTGGAGGGCAAACTTCGGGCCAGCGTGGAGAGGGGGGACTACTACGAAGCCCACCAGATGTATCGCACCTTATTCTTCAGGTGAGACCAAAATAAAAGCGCCGAAGCGGGTGGCCCCGGCTCTCTACCTTTCCAGATCTTTCTCGCTGTCAGCGAAGGGATGCCTGGATCCCTTTTCTATTGGTCCACCCTATCTGCGGCCCCGCCTCCCGGGTCGGTCCGTCTCTCTGATTGGCGTACCGAAACGTCAATCTCGCGAAATCGCTGGCTGTTAGCTGGAGGTTAGCTTCTTGCTAACGAAAAGATACACACTTCAAACTGAAAAATTCGGGATTTTAAATGATTTGTCAGTAGCTCGGTTTTGCAAATAGGCATTAGTTTTGCTCATATAGTGTCCCAATCATATAATGATGTGAACAACGGCGGGTTTCATTGGAGTACAGCTGTTAGTCGAGCTAGCTAAGCTAAGATAAAGCTTAGACTGGGTCAGTTCAGACGAAGCTGAAGTTAGCTTCTTATTCGGATTTCCCGTTCCACCTTAAATGGTGCAGAAGTTACATTCTGGTGCCTGAGGCGTCAGAATGGAACTGCTGCACCATTTAAGGTGGAACGGGAAATTCGAGTAGGAAGCCAGTGTCATTAGTTCAGCAAATGAGTAACGTTATCTGACCAGAATACTGAGTACTCGACGATTTGGTACTAGACGACTTGGAATCGACTCCCACAGCACGTTTTAGGGTGGTTATTCAGTTGTCTATGTTGTGTAACAGCGGTTTAAATGCCCTGTGTGTGCTGGTTTAGGTACATGGCCCAGGCGAAGTATGCAGAGGCCCGAGAGCTCATGTACAACGGAGCTCTGCTCTTCTTCAGCTACAACCAGGTACAGCACTATTGAAATACAGACACTAACCCAAGAATAAAGACATATCTACATGGAACTGGTCTCTGTAGGTGAAACTCATTTATGCCACTTTACCACCATTGTCTACTTTATTACCTTGTACCTCAACTCTCTAGCCACTTTAAAGGGGAACTCCACCGATTTTTCAAAAAATTCAACATAATTAAATGGTTGAAAAGTAAACAAAGTCATTCAGAGGGGTTTGGTGTTAAATGCTCTGTTCCAGAGAAACTCACTGAGTCAGAATTGTTCACAGCAGAAGCGGTAGGAAGCAGACATCCCCCTCTGAAAGCTCCCTCACATAAAGTGAGTACATGAATTTGTTATGAATACACTGCGTACTGTGTATTCTGCTTAAACTGTATTTTAATCCATTTATTTTAATTGATTCATGGCAGGGGTTGCATGCAGGGTGGTGTAGGGCAAAATTGCACCCACCCCCCCTCAAAAACATTGTATTTTTTTTAGGTTTATGCCTATTTTGCCATCATTAACCTTCCATATAAAAACTCAGAAGACACATGTAGGTTCACTGGTGGTTTTGGATAGTAAATAAAATGGCTATATTTGTGTTGTAGACACCACTGTAAAGAAAGAAATCTCTACAATGAATCATTTCACACCAAACCAATGAATGACTTTCATCTCGAGAACTGAATTATTCAGAAATGTTGAACAAATGGCGGAATTCCCCTTTAAGGTGTATCTACCTTAGAAGTCCAGTATGTATGTGTCATCCTATTCATCATTGGTCATGTTCAGACTTGATATTGGTTGTTTGGTGTATGATCTATCAGCGCCTGACCTCACTAATGGTCTGAATGCAGTCAAATACAGGTGGAGAAAATGATGAATGAGCATGCATCTGCTGTAGCCTAAGTGTATCAGGCAAATCGGTCTTGCTGGAGTTTCTACACACGTCAGGCAACTAGTGATGCACCGACCCTTTACTCTAAATCAGATCCACGCAGATTCTGACCTCATTAAACATATCGGATATCAGCCAGGTGTGTCTGATACACATTTGATACCATCTCTGAAGTTGTGATCACATGTTTGCGGTAGACGGATGATGGAAAGCCTGGTATTCCATTTTTTCCATTAGACCTGGGATGGAAAATTCTGCCACCGCCAGCCGTAACGCTCCACAGGTGGCTGTGGTGAATAGAATGCTCGGTCACGATTTCAGTTTTCCCAGTTTTTGCCGTCGACCACAGCAGTGAAATAAACCGGGTGTTGATTTTTTTTGGGGAGCTGTGGACACCAAACATCTCAATGTCGTTGTTGAATCCAAGACAAACTCAGTCTTGCACAACAAAAATAAGAATGCAGAGCGTCCTCCTGCCTTTTTCCATGTTAAGTAACAATCTACACCGCTAAAGCACTTCTCTGATCATCCATTTTTGCCGGCAACGCTGTCACCATGGCAACGTTTATGTGGCTCCGTGCCGCTGTCGGCATGTTTTCATCGCAAACATGTGAATGCAGCATTAGCTCCGGTTGGTCTTGAAGGGCGTTATTAACAAAACATCATGAACCTCAAAAACACTTTTGTTTTCATTAACAGAGCAGAAACTCATACATGTAATAACTATGAATGATCACATTGCAGGAAAACTTCTTTGTTTAAGGAAACAAAATTAGGAAGAATGAAATCTGCCACAGTTGTTTCTGCTGCGGTGCGTCAGAATAAAAGCTCTGTCCCTGTGACGAGTCAGCTTTGCGAGCAAACAACAATTTCATAGGTTTGCATTATTAATTTCATGTAGGCTAAAAAGTTACAGTTAAATTAAATTTGAATAGTATAATTAAATATCACTGCTGTCGGAGCAAAACCTTTGCATCTCCATCTAACTTTACAGGACGATGAAAAACGTTCTTAACTTTTAATGGAAGTGAATGCATAAATATTTTTTCCAAGTAATTTTGGGCCATTTCTGTTGGTCCATTCGTCATGAAATTCTGACGCATCATAAAGGGCAACTGGCCTTTTCAAATTGTCAAAAAATGAAAATCAGCAAAAATGGAGATAACTTGTTTTTTATTCTTCTTAATTTTCACTTGTATTAGTCTTTTGCAGTAGTTACAGCTTCGTGTTAGACACAGTGAGGTATACATAATTTAAATATTGGTACTTGGTATATCGATATACCCAGAGTTGAGGTGTTGGAATCGGTATCAAGGAATCGGTGCATCATTAATATCAACAGTCTCCAACTGTACACCAGCAGGGTAGAGCTACAAGGCCAAGGTTGCTAATAAAGTAGACACTGTGTAGATTCCATATTATTGTTACGCCCAGAGGAGCTCCAGGGAATTTTGCCTTCATCTTTCTTTCTGGCTGTTCGCTGATAAAAATGTCATTGGTCTTTGTCATTCCTCAGTATAATGTGTGTATATTTTGGAACAAAATGTCATTCTTCAGGCCTCATGTTCGCTCAAGCCTGGAACTAAATAAATCCCTGTCATGGTCATAAAAAGTAGGACGCAGCTTTTAAGTTTGTGCTGGCTTGTTTTTTTTCTCTACAATGCAGTGAAATTGTCAGGTGCTGACAGGGTTTTTATTCTCCTTGTACAACCAATATTCATATCACAGAAAGCTGTAACATCATGCAAATTAGCTTCTAACCAGTTTCATGGAATAATCAGGACATTCAAATCATTTAAAACAATGCAGGAGAGTCTTAATAGAGGAATTACACTTATTTTTCACATTTTCTGCATAATTTAGTCATTCAGAGTGGTTTCATATGAAATGGTGCATTTTTAAGAAACTTACAGACTCAGGTTTCTTTACAGTGGTGATAGTGTTGATAGTGTGGTGAGTGAGTAAAAAGTAAGTTTTCTTGGGGGACTATATTGTCTTACAACGCCTTGCATGTACGTTTCCACCCTGAATGGATTTTAAACAATAAATATTGGGACAAAACCTTCTTACAGCTACTATAAAACAGTGTCTCAGGGAGTGTCAACCATTTTGTATAATAACTTTTTTGAGGGAGCTTTTAGAGGCACTAAACTCTTTAGACGTCTGGTTCCTATCACCACCACTGTGAACGTCTCTGATTTTGTGAGTTTCTTTAGTTTCTCAAACCACCCTGAATGACTTTGTTTAGATCTTATGCAGAAATAAAATAAAAACTGTCCCATTTAACCAACCAACCATTAAGGGTTCACAAAGGTGGTTAAGGGGTCACCAGTGGGCAAATTGCAGTTGTAATAAGTAGTAGTATATGATATAAATAAACAGTGATTGTCCATGTTTGTCCATTGTCCCCTGCTGCAGACTACACTCCTTGATCAACTTGACCAGGATTTCTTAGTTATCCAGCTAAGTTTAAGCTTAATTCTATAGTACAGTGGTGGATCTCTTTGAACGAGGCTACATCACCATGGCAACTTATGCTGCACTAACCTGCTCCAGGGCTAGTTAAGTTCAGGATTTCAGATCATTAACAGCTCTTGGACCAATCGGCTGAACTTCTGACCAATCAGGGGCAGCCTTCTGTAGAGCCCTCTGGTCCTTTTCAGGTCACGTTTTTTCTTTGCAATGTTTATGGCATCAGTTACATAAAAAATAACAAATCTTACTACATAGACATCAAGTATATGAAGCAATTATTGCTCCGAATATAGCTGCAAGTGGCAATTCAGGGGTCCAAGCACCTTAAGCTCAATGACGCTCCTGTAGTGATCAGGTAAAATGTTACTGCTCAGGATTATGAGGCGAAACATGGTTTTGTAAGTGAAACTAGGTTAACACATTCTCTACATAGAATACACTTGCGCAATTACTGTTTATTTGCTGAATCTAACCTGTGCAAAAGTTATGGTACATATTATATTTTATATTTTTATGTTTTATTTTAAATGCAGCAAAAATGTTAGAAATTGTGCAGACATTTGCAAAAAATGCCATCTTTAAGCTCTGTAGAGGAAGTTTTTACCAATTTACACCTAGAAATTCCATGTAATTAGACTCAGACTTTTGCATATGTCTGTATGTAGCGTTTCTTTTTCCTTCTTTGAAAAATATGCTGCTCCTCATTTTCATGTGCACAAAGGTCGATTATTTAAAAAAAGTTGTTGACGCTGCCGTAAAACAAGTTAACTATGGCTGTGTTTAGTCAGGAACCCTGTTTAATTTGAGGGTTCTTGGTGAGACAGGCTTCAGGCTGTGCAATCCAAAGCTATTATTCTTCAGATCCCCAGGGTGTAACAACTCTGTAATGGACATAAGTTAATTAAGTTCTATGTAGTGCTCTAATTCATTGTCATGCAGACAGTTCTGGACATGTCTGGCTTGGCCTTATGTGGCTAGGCCATAAGTACTGTCATATTTGTGTTATCAACAGCAAAACAGTGCAGCAGATCTGTCCATGTTGGTGTTGGAGACTTTAGAGAAGTCTGAGGCCACAGTAGAAGAGGATATATTAGGTAAGTTTGAATATATTTGCAAGCGTTATCAAATTAGTATGTTTACTTTTGTGTTGAGAGTAGAGCTTTTAGACATTTAGACATGTTTAAGACATTCTAAACATAAACATCTGATGTACTTTTTTTTTTAAGGGGTGGGTGATATATCAGTATCATGACAAATTATATGATAAATCACTACGTTTTTCTGAGCGTATTATGGATATGGTCAGTACTTCTGGATCATAAAAGAGACCAATTATAGCGGGCCAATAAACAACAAAAACCAGTGTAGATTAACGGTTGTAACAAGTAACTGATTGGATGTCAGCCCATTATGACATGATCTAATTTGATTAAATAATTTTTTTTTCACAAATATTCTTTTTATTTGTAGCCTTTTTTATTCTCTTGTTTGCATTCCTCAAAAATAATATATTCTGATAAATATTCATATTACTGGGTGATTCAAAAAGATTAATCCGATTTCAAAATGATTTATTTCACTTATAAATCTTTACACAACAATGCAGTAAATTGTAAATGGTTTAAATGAGCATAAAGTTTATGTAATTTTACAAGTGTTCAATATGAACCTCCTCCAGCTGTACGGACAACATCAACGCCATAGTCAAATTCATCCCATACTCGATTGAGTATGTCGGGTGTCGCTGCACTCACGGGTCTTTCAGTGTGATTTTGGAGATCAAACAGTGTTGTGGAACCAATGATGAATGCTCTGAGCTGATGGAGGTTCACTGCAGATGACGGTCACGTCGCACAGTTATGACGGATTCACTCTTACTGAAGTGGAGAACGCAAAGCGCTTTCTGCTCAGGGGTCGCATCTCCTCGCAGACTGAAGGGAGCCATCTTCCGGTGACAGTCAGAAACTCTGTGACCCCCTCTTTCAATTGGATTGTGATTGGTTCCTAGGTGCCTCGTGGTTATGAAAATATGTCGCTTTGAAATCGGATTAATCTTTTTGAATCGCCCTGTATAGTATTGTTGTCATATCGCCTGACCTTATGCAATAATATTGCCGGGTTGTGATGCTGTAATGTATGTGTGTGTTTCTTTAATTTTATTAGAGCATTTGGTTAAGCTGTTTAGCATGATGGACCCGAACTCGCCCGAGAGGGTAGCATTTGTTTCCAGGGCGCTCAAGTGGTCCACCGGGGGCTCAGGGAAGCTGGGACATCCCAAACTGCACCAGCTTCTTGCTCTCACACTGTGGAAAGGTATTCCTTAAGCACAAATCCTTTTTTCAGCTGTCGAGCAAAGTGGGTGTATTGTGTTATTTAATAATATAGTCATAGCAAGTAGATCTAATGTGGAGTTTGCAAGAGAGAATCTGTTGAAAAAAATCAGTGCTGTGGTTGTTCAATTCTGTCTCATTATAAATCACAGGTTTGGTTTTGTGTGTAGATATGCTGCTAAGAAACCTCAGATTGGCTCAGACAAATCTCTGTGCCACTGTGCTTTAGGCACATTTTCTGGTGCTCTTTATTTTTGCTATATTGAAAATTTTATTAAATCAGCACATTATTGTATCAAACTGAACTGTGAAATTAATTGCTGACCCGTTCAACCTTGGCTTATCGTGTTATCTAGCTGTAGACTAAACTCAAAGGATTTTCTTGCCTTCAGAACAAAACTACAGCGAGTCACGCTACCACTTTCTGCACTCCTCTGACGGCGAGGGCTGTGCACAGATGCTAGTGGAGTATTCCGCCGCCAGGGGCTTTCGCAGTGAGGTGGACATGTTTGTGGCCCAGGCAGTCTTACAGTGAGTGAACTTCCCCTTCTACCTGAAAACAAACAGGAATTCATCCTGCATAAAAACATCCATTGTCCACTTATTAGAAATCCTTCTCTTGTACAACCCCATACAACAGAAAAGTTGGTACGCTGAGCAAAATGTTAATAAAACCAGAGTGCACATGATTTAAACCGTGTATTAATTGAAAATAGTATAAAAACAACGACAAATGTTTAAACTGAGAAATTGTATTGTTTTTTGAAAAATATATGTCCATTTTTAATTTGATGTCTGCAACCCCTTTAAAAAAGTTTGATACTGGGCCACAAAAGCCTTTTTGTGTAATGCTAAAAAAAACTGGTGAAATATCTTACAACTTATTAGCTTAATTAGTGACAGGTCAGTAACATGATTTGAGTGTAAAAACAGCATCCTAGAGAGTGCAACAATTCAAGAATAATGTTTTTCAACATAAAATAGCAAAAAAAAAACTTGGGGATTTCATCATCTACAGCACATAGTATCAGTAAAAGATTCAAAGAATCCAGAGAAATCTCTGTATGCAAGGGGCAAGGCCGAAAACCAGTATTAGCTGGCTGTGGTCTTCGTGCCCTCAGGCAGCACTGCATTAAAAACAGACACGATTCTGTAGTGGAAATCACTGCATGAGCTAAGGACAACTTCCAGAAACCACTGTCTGTGAAAACAGTTGATCGCTGCATCCACCAAAGTTAAAAGTCTACCATGCAAAGAAGAACCAATATATAAACAGGATCCAGAAACACCGCTGCCTTCTCTGGGCCCAAGCTCATTTAAGATGGACAGAGGTGGAGTGCAAAAGTGACCTGTTGTCCAACAAATCAAATGTTGAAAGTCTTTTTGGAAATCATGGACGCTGTGTCCTCTGGGACCACTCAGCTTGTTATCAGCGCACAGTTCAAAAGTCAGTATTCATGATGGTATGGGGTGCATTAGTGCACATGGCATGGGTGACGTGCACATCTGTGAAGACATCAGTAATGCTGAATGAACATATAGAGGTTTTGGAGCAACATATGATGCCATCCAGATGACGTCTTTTTTTTAGGGAAGGCATTACTTATTTTAGCAAAACAATGCCAAACCACATTCTGTACATATTACAAAGCATGGCTCAGTAAAAGAGTCTGGGTGCTAAATTGACCTGCCTGCAGTCCAGACCTGTTCAGTCCATTTCACTTTCTAAACTACAGCAGTGTCTCCTCAGTTCCCAAACACAGACTGTTGTTAAAAGAAGAGGTGATACAGTACAGCGGTAAACATGCCCCCCGTCACAGTTTTTTTTAAACATGTTGCTGGTATTAAATTCAAAAATTGCTTTGTACTATTTACAATTAAATATAGGGTTTAACTGATTTGCACATAATTGCTCTCTGTTTTTATTTGCGTTTCGCACAGCATCCCAACTTTTTTAGAAATAGGGGTGTAGCTCCTTCTTGCTGATGTACAGTTAAGGACTGTATCCCATCTGCCGATAAACAGTTTGTGCTGTGCTGAAAATAATCCAGCACCCAAATAACGCCTGGTCAACAGCAGTCCTGTAGTCAGTGAGGACTGGGTTAGAGGGAGCAGATAAATATGTCTCCAGTCCGTTATTGTACACCAATATAGTGGACCTGTAAGGAAAGTGTCAACTTTTTCATTCCTTCTGCATCCCTTTTTGATGTGTTCACAGATTTCTGTGTCTAAAGAACAAAACTAGCGCATCAGTGGTTTTTACCACGTACACACAAAAGCACCCATCCATAGAGAAAGGCCCTCCGTTCGTGCAGCCTCTCCTGAACTTTCTCTGGTTCCTCCTGTTGGCAGTGGAAGGGTAAGAGCCTCATCATTCTTCTGACACTTGTAATTGCTTAAACCTGATAGTAGCACTACTGACGCTAGATTATTTTCAGAGGTTTGGTAACAGTTTGTTAGGTGTTTGATTTGCTGATTGGTTCGGGGTAAAGAGTCTATGTAAATTTTCCAAATTCACACAGATTGAAAGGTCACAGCTCAGATGTTCACATCAGCACAGCCATGTCTGTTTGCATGTTTTGTTATTCCATTAGCGTAAGGTGGATTGGAACAGGGCTACTATTACTGAAGGAGCTCTGGGTTCAGCCAATTACAGAAGACTATTCACTCCCAAATTATAACTGTCACACTGTACAAACTACACACATTGGCGATTCATACTAGGTTATCACTTCACAGTTATTGCTGTCAAACTGTAAAAAGTACATACACTGCACATTCATACTGCATTAAAATCATGCCACAGTTATTACCATCAGACTGTACAAACTACACGCATTGGAGATTCATACTGGATTAAAATCACTCCACAATTATTACCGTCAGACTGTAAAACTACATACACTGCAGATTCATACTGGATTAAAATCATTCCACAGTTATTACCGTCAGACTGTACAAACTACACGCATTGGAGATTCATACTGGATTAAAATCATTCCACAATTATTACCATCAGACTGTACAAACCACACGCATTGAAGATTCATACTGGATTAAAATCATTCCACAGTTATTACCATCAGACTGTACAAACCACACGCATTGAAGATTCATACTGGATTAAAATCATTCCACAGTTATTACCATCAGACTGTACAAACTACACGCATTGGAGATTCATACTTGATTAAAATCATTCCACAATTATTACCATCAGACTGTACAAACTACACACATTGAAGATTCATACTGGATTAAAATCACTCCACAATTATTACTGTCAGACTGTAAAACTACATACACTGCATATTCATACTGGATTATAATCACTCCAGAATTACTACTGTCAGACTGTTAAAAACTACAGGATGCCCTGTTGCTAATCACTTAGAAATATTCTATTCAACCTAATTTCTGTCTGTTGATTCATTAGAATATGGTCAGTTACCACAGACAATTTCAGTGCACAACAGAAAAGACTCATAACTCACTTTTTTTCTGTACAGGGAAAAGTACAAAAAATGTCTCTAGCAACTGACCATACATTCTGGAGGTGGCAGACAGATCAGTTTTAAACACTTAAATATTCCTTTTAATTCCAGTCCCTTCTCAGCTAAAACAAATCCAGCTCCACTTTCAGAATACCATTCATTAAGTATTTTTCAGTTGAGGACTCACAGTTAAGGAACAGTGACAGTGCTGTTTCTGGATGCTCTTATGTTTGTTTGAGTGTTATGAGTCAACAGTCTGTCTTACACATCCTCTGTGTGCTGTCTGTTTGCAGTGGGAAGCTGACAGTCTTTACAGTGTTATGTGAGCATTATCAGCCGTCACTGAAGAGAGACCCCATGTATAACGAGGTAAACGCCTGCACAGAAAACAAGTCTGCGCATCATAAAATTTATGCTGGCTGCACAGGGTGAAACTTGTATACAAACTTAGAAGAAAATAGATTTTACTTATTTTTACTTATGTAAAGCCTTTAATTCACTTAAACTTGTGTGATACTCAGCTGCCACAGTAGCAACAGTTTTAAAACATGATTAATCACTCCAGAGAACACCTTTCCACTGCTCCAGGGTTTGGTGGTGGCATGCTTTACACCACTACACGACGGCATTATACATAGAGATCTTAAGCTTGTTCGCAGCAGCTATGCCATTGAAACCCATTTCATGAAGCTCCCGACAGTTCTTGTTCTTGTGCTGATGTTGCTGTCAGAGGCAGTTTGGAAATCTGTATTGAGTGATAAAACAGAGGCAGATTTTTACGCACTACACGCTTCAGTTTTAGGCACACCTGCTCTTGTGGCAAAGGTGGCATCCTATGACAACGCTAAGTTTAAAGTCACTATGCTCTTCACTACAACTCATTGTACTGCCTGTAACTGTGTTTGTCTATGGAGATTGTGCTCATTTTATACACCCATTAGCTATGAGTGTGGCTGAAACATCAGATCTCAATGATTAGGAACCACCAAACACCAAAGTTGGCTAACAGTCAGCACCAATCAACACATTACACACCATTCCTCCTTCCCCCCAGCTCTAGTGTCATTAAGTTGTACAACAACCTGATTATAATCATCATTTTTTATCACTCAAATTTTGTTCTGAATATCTTGAGAGTACCGAATCGTAAACCAGTATGGTGAAATGTATAATTTGTGTGCTAAGATTATTGTTACACCCCTCATTCTGATATTATTTATAAATCATCTTGTTGGCCACAGTGTGGTCACATGGTCTGAGTGAGACTTCATTGCTGAAGTGTAGTAGCAGAATTCCCTTGCACATCTAGGCCCTTGTAGTGGTTTTTGGCTGAGTGAATGCTGAACATGTTTGTGTTCTTTCTCTTTGCTTCCCTACTTGACTGGTACTCCAGTACCTGGACAGAATAGGACAGCTGTTCTTCGGAGTACCACCAAAACAGTCGTCATCATACGGTGGCCTGCTAGGTACGTTCTCCTTGTGTTTTAGTTTTTCCTTTACCCCAAATGTGGTCAGTCAGCTAAGACATGTTGAGTGTCTGAAGTTTGCTTCTGTAGTTTGACACTTTAAATACAAGGTGGATTTAGCCAACAAGTAATAGGAAGCTTATACCCCCCCAGTTACAATTGTGCTAACTGCATGCCTAAATCGTTATCCACTTGACTCCGTGCCGAGTTGATAAGTAATCTCAAATAGACTGACACTATAACATACTGTTATCTACAAAAAATGTAGGCTCAAACAGCTGCTGATAACTATGCAACGTTAATATAATCCCAACCGGTGGGTATAAGCTTCTGTTACTTATTAGCTACATCAGTTTAGCAGCTCCATTACAGAATTGAAGAAAAACTTTGGACACCAAACATGACTCTAAATTTGATGTTTGGACAGATCATTCTAGTTAGATGCAAAAAAAAAAAAAGGTTTTCTTACCTCAAGTCAGACTTAACATCTAGTACTTTATCAGTGATGGGTGATTAATTCTGATATCTTTAAATACTACAGGGAATCTGTTGAACAGTCTAATGGGTTCGAGTGAAGAGGAGGAGGCCAAGGAGGCTCAGGAGAACAGCAGCCCCATCGAGCTGGACTGAAAATCGTCCACCCACAACCGGAGGCAGTCTTTTCCTTCCAAAAGTAACCTCACGACTTCTCCGCCATCCCAAAAACAAAAGCACCAAACCAGAGTACCCCCTCTCTCCACCACCGCCGGGAAAGAATCAACACGAAACAAAACTCGCTCTCAGCCCATTCAGGACTGAATCAAACTAGAAACTTTCTCCTTTTTCAGCCAAATGGGGGCATCGTGGAATACAAGTAGCTGCATTTGTTTTTCATTTTCAGGTTTTTCTTCTCATTTTTCAGATGTTTCTGTGTAGTTTTAAGACGGTGACACAGGTGCATTGACCATCCTGGACTACTCTTTATCCTCCTTGTCGTCAAACAAGAACGAAACCATAAAGAAAAGAGAAGAAAAATTACATTTCAGTCATAATCATAAAACTTTGATCGTGAACTCCACCTACTCACTGAATTCTGGGAAATGTAGTCCGTTGTTCGTGAAACGGCCGAACCCGGACTTCTGCACATGTCCAGCCACGATGGGTGAAGGTAGATAATTGTATTGATTAAAGTAATTGAATTACTTATAATCCACGCTAATGTACTTTGATAACTCTCAGTATACTAGACGAAGGTGGTGAGCAGCTCGGCCGTGTCTCGTCATGCCGAGGAGGTGTTTGCTCCGTTCTAAAGTTTCGGACTGATTTTCGCCACCACTACTCCTGTTACTACCGTGTGCGAGTGTGTTTGTGTGCGAGAGAGTGTGTACATGTTGGAGTGGGATGTCAAGACTTTAGCTTGCTGTCTTTAGTACGCTGCTCACCTTTGCAGTCTGAAACAGGTGTTCGTTATTATTTTTTTTTTTTCATCTTTGCTGAACTTTGGAAGAGCTCAATAAAAAAAAAAAGAACTGGTCGAAATGGTGGTGGGAGCTTAATTGTGCTTTGTGAAGGATAAAAGGCTGACAAAGTGAGAACTGAACTGAATATTCGCTATTTTATCTTTCATTTCTTGTTTTATTTTTGTCACTTTGTTCGGTTCTATAAGATATTTTTAGCTAATCATAGCACTTAGGTCGTCCATGGTTCTCACTCCTTTTAGGAAATCACTTTCCAGGACAAATTCAAGGACTTACATGCATGACAACTGTTGCTCATGGAAGGTCATCTTAAAATGATCCACTTAACGTGTCCTTAAGTCAACAATACATCCCATAAAGACCCCTTACTAACTGAGTCGCACCACTAACGCAACCTCACACAAACCATTCCTCAACCACTTATCATTCGATCACAAACTCTACTAAAATCTATCACATGTTCCGACACAGCGTCCATACATCTGTCTACATGCGACACTAACATTCCGAACTACAATTGGTATGAATGGGCACTCTTGACAGCTAAAATTATGCAAGAAAAAATATTCTATTAATTAATAGTAGCTGAAATTTATACTATTTCAGAACTTCACTTATATTTTCAGGATGTTATCTTCTGATTTTCCATGACTGGAAAACTAGTCTATAAATTTCCAGGTTTTCAAGAATGTGGAAACACTGTAGTAACTATTACAAGCTGTGCATGTTGGTCAGTATAAATTAGAGTATGCATCCTTTAAAATATGGTGTGTGTACACTGCTGCAAATTGCCCTGTAAGGTATAAAATAAAAAATAGGTTATTAAATCATTTAAAATCAGCGGTGATGGGTTGGAAGTTTCAGACCACGACGTACATCTCTGCGTATAAACGTCACACGCACAGGCTCAAAAAGAAGGTCCAGCTCGATGTTTAGGTCTCGACTGCAAAATCAACCTTAGACTTTTTAAGATATGACCATAGTAGATAGATTCACTCACATCATCTGAAGACACATCCTTCACCAAGTTTTACCTGCGTAATCTTTCAATCCTCAGATTCATCCTCTTGGGGAAGGGGTCCCAAGCACAACCAACGTTACAAAATGTTTTTCTGCACATTGTGTGCAGTTACACATTTCCATCAGAGAGGTTGCCAAATGCCCAAAACTTACATAGAACAGCTTTAAATGTCATGATCTTGTATGCTGAACTCATGGTTGAGAACACCTTTCTGACTTTGCATGTAAGAATTCTCAGATTTAGGGGCTGTGAAAAAGCATGAACACCTCTATGAACGAATATTGTTAGCAACAAGCTAGCCAGCTAATGTACACCGGTCAGGCATAACATTATGACCACCTCCTTGTTTCTACACTCATTGTCCATTTTATCAGCTCCACTTACTATATAGGAGCACTTTGTAGTTCTACAATTACAGACTGTAGTCCATCTGTTTCTCTGCATACTTTGTTAGCCCCCTTTTACCCTGTTCTTCAGAGGACAGGACCCCCATGGACCCTCACAGAGCAGGTACTATTTGGGTGGTGGATCATTCTCAGCACTGCAGTAACAGTAAGGTGGTGGTGGTGTGTTAGTGTGTGTTGCGCTGGTCTGAGTGGATCAGACACAGCAGTATGCAGAGAAACAGATGGACTACAGTCTGTAACTGTAGAACTACAAAGTGCACCTATATAGTAAGTGGAGCTGATAAAATGGACAACGAGCGTAGAAACAAGGAGGTGGTCATAATGTTATGCCTGACCGGTGTATTTACCTTTGTGGACACTGCTACAGATTTAACAAGCTACTATGTCTGTATGTTGTTTTATCTTATTTAAAACTAGAAAAGTGGTGCTTTATTAGCAGTGAGAGCAGCCATGTTCATATGATGTCACACACTAAGCTTAGAGTTGAAAAGCATTCCAAGTTGGAATTTGCAGTTGAGGAGACACTTTGGTTCTTCCAAGCATCAAGCTGGAAATTCTGAGTTGCGAGATTCAGTCGAAGGCAGCATAAAGGCTCTGAGAATTCCTGTTAGAATCCTTTATATATGATTAAACACAAAAATGTACAAAAAGTGCAGAAAGTTCTCGTAATCGTAAGTGTTAATGCGTATGCTAAAGACATTAGGCTTAAGGCATAGCTAGTGCTGTGGATGTTAAAATCAAGTTCTTTTTCATGAATGACCACAAGGGGAACCTTCTTTCGTCTTCCACGCTCTCCGGACTCGGATGCCGCACACTTCTGGCTTCCTGCCAGCGCTCCCCCTCCGAGAGCCCAAACGGAACTGGACGATGATGAAGCCACATGAGAGTCGAAGGTTAAAGATGGTCGGCGCTTTCTTAGGCTCGCGACTGCAGAGAGAGACGCAGCAGCATGTCTGAGAGGTGAGACAGATCAGGCTGCTGCGCTTGCTGCTTGATGTGCTCCAGGGTGCGGACCTAACACGCATGTGCAGACAGACAGGAATGGGGAAGCCAGAGAGCCATTAACTCAGAAGTAACAGGTATCAGCAGCAGTTAAAGTTTTAAATGTTATATCTTTAATAAAGTAGTTCCAATACATATAAATTCTAACGTTTATATTAATATATAAATGTATTTATTATGTCAAACAATGAAAATAATTGATTAACTGTATTATTTTGTATAGTTAATATTAATTTCATTATTTTTGTATAGTTACTAGTGACTCAACTCATTATTTTGTGTCGTTAAAAGCTTTTAATCTCATGTATAGTTAGTTTCGATTAATGGCTTTATTTCTGTTGTTAATCAAAATCACCTTAATCTGTAGTAAATCATGATAACCACTTTTTTTGTACAGTTAATCGCAATTAACCCTCTGTATTATTTGCACATATTTGACCCTAAAGAAACATTTCCATTTAAAAGCATCGTATTTTGTCGTAGCTGTATGAGCAAACAAAATAGACTTCTTTTGAATGTAACATTGAATAACATTCATTTGCACTGTGTGAACGCAGCATTCGCAAGAACCTGAGCACGGTGTGCTGCACCTGGCTAAAAATAATTGTGACGTAAATAATGTATCACATTAATGTGTTATTAACGTGACTTTTATGCCATTAGGGTTGGGCTGATAGATGATGCCATTGTCCATTGTCGATGCCTGATAGACATCACAATGCTGAGCCAGTCGCAAACTAGAGAACTGTTGAGGGTAAACAAACACACACTTTTAACACACTTTTCTTTATCATTCCCGCAGCAAAATGGAGGACATGTACGACAGCATTTTAGGGCCACTGTAAAAAAATTTAAAGCGGTAGACTTCGAGAATAAAGTTCTAATATTACGAGAATAAAGTCGTAATATTTCCAGATAAAAAGTCGTACGGTATGACATTTTGAGAATAAAGTAATATTTCGAGATAAAGTCGTACGGTATGACATTTCAAGAATAAAGTTGTGATATTTTGAGAAAAAAGTTGTATTTTTTAGAATAAAATCGTAATATTTTAAAAAATAAAGTTGCAATATTGTGGCCAAAGGGTTTGCAAATAGAAGGTAGCAACTTCCTCATGTTACAACAAGGCAGGTTGAGGAGTTGGTAAAGTTATACTTTGGTCTCGATTCACCCGTAAAGAAACACTCAGTCTCCCTGTCTCTCATCAGCACCAGCCTGTTATTAGTATGAGAACCGGCTGAGCAGGAAACTGTGTTTATCTAGAATAAAGAAGAGGGCATATAGTTTCACAGACAGTAGTCAGTGAGAATGATAATCAAAATGATCGATCCCGAAGGAGTGGAAATGCAGCGCACTCGGTGTCTTCGCCAGCCCCCCTACACTTTGCCTACTTTATCCTCAAAGTATCGCAAGTTTATTCTTGTAAATTTATGACTATTTTTTAAATATTATTACTTCATTCTTAAAATATTAAGATTTTATTCTAAAAAATACGACTTCATTCTCTAAATAATTCGACTTTATTCTCAAGGTCTATTATTTTTATTTTTTGTAACAGTGGCCCTAAAATGCAGTCGTAGACATTAGACTGTAGGTCTGTTCCTTGCGATTAGTGTATTTCAAGTAGGTCTGCTGAACAGCTCCACAGCACAGACACTGTGTATGAACGACCATCGTGTGTGAGCTGTAGAGCCACTGCTGCATCACTCATGTCACGCTGGGCTTGTGGCAATGTGGGGAAAAAAGGACAGCCTGGCTCAGTGGATGGAGCGATACTGGAATAGTTTCATAGAGAGAAAGAGAAAGAGAGAGAGAACCAACTTTCATGTCGCTGCGCTCCACACCGCTCACACGTTCTGCCTGTTC